AGTGGCCTCTTTCTTTTCACCCTCCTTTGCCTCACCCTCTTTAGCCTCACATTCTTTAGCCTCTCCTTCCTTCACATCCTCTGATGGCTTCTCGTCTGTTGAGCCAGAGAAGAAGTTTGAGATTGTGTTGCCTAGTTCTGAAATAATGGCAAGGTCTTGTTTTGAATTGTATTTTATAATTGCTATTGCTCACATGATTAAATGGTAACCAAAATCCTATCACGGCTGAATTGAATTATTTTAATCACAAATATAAAACATAAAACGGCTGTATTGAATGATACATAACATTTCTCTAATATTTTGAAGAATTTGCTTCATTGAAAGTTTGGATTTTCTCAATATTTATAAGTAAGAACATTACAGCTTAACTCTCATAAATCTGCCATAACTTGCACAATAGGCATTATGGTGTCTCTTGATGAACAGAAGAATATTGATTCATATTACTGCAAAATAACAGAGCACAGATCCAGTGAAACGACTAAGAGCTTTAATTATTTTTCACTTTCATGATCTGGAAAGGCTACATTTATAATATGACACAATATTGACATACAAAACAAAATAAAGCCCCAAGTGACCAAAATAAATTGCCTGTTTCTACCACCTAACATAAAAAAGCATAATTAAAATAATTCAGTTGCGAAAATGGAAAATGTTGAAAAATTTAGATTTATAACTATTTGCTACACTCACTCATGTTCATGTTTGATATCAACTCATTGGTAAAAAAATGATACCACGCAGAATGGTGTGATATTACACAGAGAAACCAAAATCACAAAAAATATTCTACATTTATTTCAACTCCTTGTATCAGCAATTATTAACTGGGCTTCAAAGTGTTGAAAGAGTGGTAATGTTAATTCACTATTGGATTTGATATAATGATGAACATTGTGAAGCAGTATTTACATCAGGCGTTCTGCTATGAGATTTCACAACAATTCAGCCAAGGGATTCAACATGTTCAAAGAGGAGGATTTATACAGACAGAGAGCTAAATGCTAAATTAATACAGCTAAAGACTTTAGTGTTACGCAATATACATCTTTTCACGAAACAGGCCATGTAATATTAATTGCTAACGCAAGACCCCAAATTAGTATAGTCTGAAGCTAGGAGCTACAACATCCATCTGTTTTATCTATACAAAAATCAACAAACTGACCCTTCATAATTCCAGACTGTAAAACAGGTTATTCAGCGTAGAGCACATTTCTGAGTTCAGAACTCAGAAGTTTACAAAATAGAACCAGATCTTATAACAAGGTTTACAGTATTATACATAGACAATATCTTCAACTGTTTAACAAAATCACTTTTTAAACTGGAGACCATTTCCGGAAAAAAACGTTGTCATTAGGATTGCTGTAATTTAATTGTCCTTGATGCATTACTATAGCAACAATAGACAATTGAATGTCAAAGACCTATAACAATTGAATGTCACAAGTCGTCATTGACAACATTTTCAAGAAATGACCCCCTCTCTGAAAATCAACTGAATCTACAACAATATTAAGATGCTCTTTACTCAGGACAAGTACCACCTCCCATATTTGAATGAATGTGTCAATATTCTATAAGAGATACAATAGCCAGTGTATAAGTTTTTACAACAACCAATTCTACTCACTAGACAATGTTGACTGGTCATCTTCTGGTGATGGTTGCTTTTCAAATTGGAACTCAACCTATAAATACAGTAATATTTACAAATGGCTGCTCTTCAATTGGAGTACCTCTTTTAGGTACAATAATATTTATAGTTAGCTGCTTTTCGACATTTTACGTGAGTCCGATCTTACAGCTGAATGAAATAGGTCCTTCTCTAATGTTAACACTAAATTTCATCACATTGAGCGAATTGGATTTGAGTCCATTTAAAATAGGGCAGATACTACTGTACTAGAATTAAACCAATATACTCATTAAGGCCAATGAGTATATGTGAATGAAGTGATTTTATGGAATTTTTCTATCATATTCTAATCCGAAAACCTCTTCATTCATTTCATCAACATCATTTATTATACCATATCCTCGTTTCTTTTGACATGTACATTGTGTATTCCACACTTTGCTTCAAGACTTTCACTTTAAGACGTATTACCTTATCTAGAACCAGTATTCCGCTCTCATCCATCTTGAAGTGTGCCTTGACCCCCTTAGACTCTGCATCCTTGCCATATTTGTTATGTGCGTCTGGCAAAACTGCCCTAATTCGCGTCACCATACTAGTCAATGGGCAAAAGGGCAAAAGCCTGACTTTTTATCTCGAGTTATGGATTTATGTGGCCTCACTGGCCTATCTGAGGTTCTAAAGCTATGTCTAAGCTACATCTTGACACTAAACTCAATAGGGGCCAATCATCTACTTTTTGAAATAATTGGTCAATATGTGACACTACCCCCTCTCTCTGCAGACACAAATTGAAATTCACAAAAATGAAGGCAAAATTAATACGCCACTTGACTCGAAATTTTCCTTCAGATAACCCAAATAAACGCATTTTCAGAAGAAATGGCATGTTGCCATTGCAAAAAGATTACAACTGTGCCTACATACTAGCTTACTGACTCGTCATGATCACAATTGTGTTGGGACTACATTTATTTTTGAATACTACTTTTTTCTATTCAGCGGAAGTGACGTATTAGGGCATTTTGGCCTCTGCTACACCCGCTAGTGACACCTTGTTCAGTTCAAGGTCCCCAAATGTCCTACAACCAGTTTGATATAATGTTAGAGTGCAATACTAGGACTTCTAATCTGATGCTCAAAATTAATGATCCAATTAAAATATAAGCAGTGATAATGTCAGACTCTGTTTCTAAAATCTAGGATGTATCAAATTAGGCTGGATTCACATTATATGCAAAGCTCATAAATAATTAAATAGAAACATATAATATTAATTAAGTTAAAAAATAAAACACATTGATTTAAAATTTTATTCATAGTTTCTTACTTTAGCTCTGTCTCAGATAAAAATGACAGGTCTCCGTAATTAACATCAAATGTGAAGTCTGTGGTGTGCTTGTTGAAGGTCATCACCTTCTTCTGGGGGTATGGGTTCAACCGTCCAAACAGGGTACGTTTAACAGTCTTTGTGGACTCCTTTCCATCATCAACTTTGGTTCTTTCAAACTCAACCTAGGAGGGTGGCATAATGCATGACATAAGCAAACTGTTTTGGAAAATCTCAGAACAATTTTGGAGGGGCATGTTCAAGAAAATCTGAACAGTAAAGCCACACTCACATGAGCTCTAAACAGCCAATTTAGCTTCACAGAATCAATATAGAAAATCTACATCGAACTGCTTATCCCTATATTCCATGCTGCATATTTCTCTCAATTTGGGAAACTACAGCAACTGTATACTGGGTTAATTTAGCGCTACTTAATTTGGTGATTTTGCCATTTTTACCATTTTTGGCATATTGGTGGCTATTTAATTTGGAGGACACCAGGGCTTTGACACTGGAACAAAATACAAATTGTTACACATGTTCCTTCAATTCAACTACTATATCTAGTAATTAATTAATGAAGCAACTCCCCAGAGCCAATTAATTTGGAAGTGACATGTTCTGATTAACACTCTTATCCTTTCCAGAATTTGTAAAAACTAAACCAGAAGTGACTTGAACACAACAGACAAAATTTTGAGGATCCCTTTTAAATTTTAGCAAAGTGTAAATTTGCATTTTTTCTATTTTGCAAAATTCGCCAAATTAAAGCGGGTGCCTAATTAACCCAATCTACAGTAGTTGCATTAGATCAAATGTGACGGAGGCATTAGAGGTGTCTAATCAATCTGACATTCTGTTTTTCTGGAATCATTATGAAAAAGATGCCACCACAATCAACCCATTAAAACACTAGTAGTGTACAAAAATGACTTATGACCTTTACAAGTCACTACCTGAGCACAATGAAAGGTCACATTTGATTGCAGATAAAAACTCCTTTTGACATCGAACAGATAATTCATCCCTTTTTGACATCTTTTTCTATTTACATTTGGTAGCAAAGTGCAAAAATATCCCACTTGAATGTAGACTCTTGATGTTTATCTTGAGCTATACATGAAAAACCTCTTAAGTGGAACATTTTTACCAAAGATACCACAGGTGTTCCATTTATGCAGGTTTTACTATACAACAACTAGATAACGGCAACTCCGCGGAGTAGCAAATCCCAACGAATAAAATATCAATTACCGAATTCCAATCAATTATACTCATTACTTTTGTTAAAATTGAAAAATTTAGATTTTAGAATTGCAAATTCCTGCAAAGCAGCCATTTCGAATTTTCTGAGGTACAAATCTGAAAAAAATACCATAATTGTGGTCTAATACAAAATTCCTTCAATTTGAGTACAATATAGGCATACTTTGAAGGGATCGAAAAATTATTGCGAAATCGTACATTGGACGGCCATTTTGAATTTTACAAGGCTCGAATCAGTAAAAAGATACAATATTTGCAATCTACTCTTAATTGCCTTTCATTTGAGTATAATAAAGCTATACTTCAGAAAGATCAAAAAATTAGCGAAAATTTCTATTTTCCTGACCCTGGGGGTCAGTATGAAAAAACATGGAATATATGTAAAATAGATAGATGTTGTGAATATACTACCAAAATTTCAAACAATAATATTAATTACTTTGGTTTAGAATGAAAAATTTATGATTTTTGTGAAAACATTCTGCCATAAGTGTCTTGAGAAAAAACAAATATGAGAGTTATTTTACTTTTAGTTCTGAGCTGTTTTGCTCTCGAAAAAGTCAACACTGGAAAGGTAACTTTATATTTTACTTTACATTATAATTACATAACTAAGTAAACAGAGTAAGGTGAAGCACTCCATCAATCTATCTTGGACATAACTTTGATTTTCTTGTAAAATTTAACAAATATGATTTTGCCTAAATGTCCTTAACATAGTGGTATCGGCTACTTTATTATTGTAGGTGCTGATTCAACCTTATCCACTGTTTAAATTATCAAGAATCAGAGCCATGGAGCAGATAGCATTACTCCTTTCAAATGCTGGACATGATGTAACATACTTCGTCCACACGGAATACACTGCCTCAGAAATACTTCAAGCAGCAAATGTTACCATTATAACATACCAGTACCCCACTAAGGACCTAGCATACAATCTGGGAGGGGATACGATAACAGATTTCACGAAAATGACAATTCTAGAAGAAATGGCATTTATGTTTAAAAAAGGACAAATCCACGACATATATGTTAACTATTCCATTTCTGCATATTTCTCAGATATGAACCAATGGAGGGGACTCAAAGCTCAGAATTTTGACTTGATAATATTTGACAGTCAAGATTTTGCTTTAGGAAGGCTCATGAAGGAATATCTAGACAGACCTGCCATACTTTGGTCAAATGCCGGCTTTGAGATGCATATCGATAACTGGCTGGTGCCATTCCCTGTATCATATATACCTATCAATTTTGTGTCATATAGTGACCAAATGACTTTTAAAGAACGAGCAATGAATACATTTTACTATGTGGCATTACAGTACTACATGAAAGACTGGTGTGATACAACAAATGATGCTTTGGCAAAGGTCGCTGATAAAGTTGGACTCCCTCATGAAATTAGACCTGTTCTCAATGATGCAGACCTCATATTTATCCAGTCTAATTTTCCATACTTCTACCCTCGTCCAATCATGCCAAATGTTGTCCCTGTATTAGGGTTACTAGATCGTGACCATAAGCCAATTGATGCAAAGTTTCTCAACTTCATAGATGGCGCTAATGATGGTTTTATCATCTTCACACTAGGTACATTGGCAACAGGTTTCGATGCGCAAACTCGGGAAATTTTTGCTACTGCGTTTGCGATGTTGAAACAACGAGTTTTATGGAGGTATATTGGCTCTGGTCCTCTATCACTAGGCAACAATACAATGTTGTCACCATGGTTACCACAAAACGATCTTCTTGGGCACCCAAAATTGAAATTATTCATTACCCATTGTGGATCAGGAAGCTCGGGAGAAGCTGTTTACAACGCTGCACCTGTGATTGGTCTTCCTTTATTTTTAGATCAGCGCCATCACTGTGCTCTTTTGACAAAACGTCATAAAATGGGATTAACATTATCATTTGCTGATATCACATTGGACACATTTTCTGCTGCGATTGTTGAGGTCCTCGGAAACCCTCAGTACAAGAAAAATGCTGTAAAAGCGCAGAAACTGGTCCGGGATCAACCCATCAATGCTACATACACAATTCAGTATTGGTGTGAATATATTATGAAGCACAAAGGCGCACATCACTTGAAATCTTCTGCCATGTTTGAACTGAACTTCTTCCAGTACTTCTTATTGGACATACTACTGCTTGTATTAGTTACTGTGGTGATTTCTTTGGCTGTACTATATTGCATCATTAAACAGTTGGTACTGTGTCTTTGTAAATATAAGTCCCAGAAACTTAAGAAATCTTAAGATATATTATTCTTATGGCAGGCTCATGGCGGTCAGGCCACAAGGATGAGATATATATAGCCAAAATGACGCAACCTCCGAGGAGGAGCAGACTTACAGAATACGTCTTATGATACAATCATGTAATCAAAAAATGAAAATGTTTTCAGCTAAAAGTTAAAAAAACTTATTCATGTTATTGAGCTTACACCTTATATTCCACATGGAGAAATTTATTGTTTAGTTTGGTCGTCTTTGTTGTCAGGCAAATTGTAGGAATTCGAATGAAAATTCACAAGGATTGGTCTTCGACATTCCTTTGTGAACCTTTCAGGAGGAAACCATAGAATGTATGATAAATTTATGCAGCAATACTATCTTGGTTGTATTGAAAAAAGTCACACCGTCAGTTGATCAGAACGTCACACATTTGCTGATCATTTTTGGGAAGTAAATTGGATTTTTTTTTATTTGAAATGAGTGCACAGTAAACTCCCTGAATAAAGGAGAAAATTAAATATTTTGATCAAAATTCAACTTGCTAATGGGCTATAGCAGAAATCACGCCTCAACATGGAGATCACAAAAGAATGCTGCGTGCAATGTTGCTTGTAATAATGTTTTGTGGAGAGTAATAAATCAGTATTGCTATTATTTATACATTTTTTTATTTTATATATTATGAGCTGGAATGTACAAAGAAAAACTGTACATATCTTACAATATAACATGAAATTCAACATTAACTATTGCTGTTAAAATCAATTGTTTTACAATGTTAACAAATATAGCGAATCAGATGCTATTTTTCACTGAAACTGAGATATAGATATAATCCCATCCCCCAGCATTCGATAGGGTTCTTCTGTCGTATCAGCTGGATTTCCATTTCAATCCATTAGAAGGTTTATGTGTCTTTTATTTTGCTATAAAATCGTTATCTCAATAAACAAGTTTCAACGTAACACAAATGATTTTAACAGAACTATACATAAATACATGAACTCGTGGATGACAAGGATATGCAATGTACATACAAACAATATAAAACCTAAGTCAAAATAAATAATTCAAATAAATGACTATTTTTGGTTAATAAATTGGTCGACCCTTCTTTCCAATCTTTGATGAGATCAGCTCATGTATTCTGACATTTTTACACAAAAAGTTAAATTGATTCACTTCTAATGTCTAAAGGTATTTAAATTTCAAAACACTTTATCCTTTCATATTAAAATCAATATATTATCACTAACTAGTAACTTGGCAATTCTATTATGAACAAATTACACATTCCCACTTGGCAATTAATAAAGATCATTTTTACAAGCGACATACTCCCACTTTAAATTAACTGAAACTGAGATTTTTCTTTGACACCTCTTCCTAAATGGAGCTAGTACACATAACATGCACTGAAAATTAAATGGATTTTAAAATCTGAATTTCAAAATCCATAATACAAAGCTTCATCTAATACAAATAACCCCTATAAAAATTGGTGAAGATTCCTACATCTAGATGTACAATTGATATTAGGAAGTACTTATTTTACTGCAATATTCACTTGTTTTACAAACACAAAATCCACAACTCCTTGTTCCTCATATTCATTCGGTCTCCATTCATAAATATCATTTACATACAGAGGTTCAGGTTCTCTGGCCTATTTCTCTTCTGAACTGAACTCTACTGAACTCTAAGTGAAAACCCTTGCAAAATATATCACGTTCCTTATTTAATATCAAACACATGTCAAACAGACCTTAATAATAGGTCAGATTTTTGAAATATATATTTTTGCAATATTTCCTATTTTGTATGGTGGGTGTGAATCTGCCACAATATATTTTGAAGGGGTTCACTGGATTCAATCATTCATGTCATGATAATGGATTTATTAATGATAGCTGTCTTGCTGGATCACTGAGTAAAATGAAATGAAATTACACTAAATTCTTTCATCGTTATAATTCATCATCGGGACCATTTTCTCCATGTCCATGTTTAGTTTCTTCAGTTTCAACTTTCTCTGATTTTTCATCATTGTCTGATTTATCTGAAGATTCTGTTTCTTTTTTATTATCAGATTGTTCTTCTGTTTTGGTAGATTCTGTATTAGACTCTGGAAGAGGAATATATAATATGTAAATTGACAGATACAAAGAAACGTTTCAAGCCTCGCGAAACTGCATTGTTTTCTGGTTAATAAAAAGTTTTGATTTAGCAGTTTTATATCCAGAAGTCATTCTACTAGACTTGACAAGTCTGACAAGATTAAATATGATTACTGTCAAACTAATTTGATATTCAGAGGAGCTTTGAAAAATCAGTCTAAGCAAAATGCTGTAAAACTTTATTTATATATACCTGTATTTTTAGTTTCTGTATTTATTGGTTCTTCAGTTACAGGTTCATCTCCATTCTCTACTTCTACCTGAACATCTTCATCATCATCCTCTACTGAAACAAACAAAAATGTATAATTCATTTTCAATGTGGTATGGTACAAAAAGGTTTCATCGGATAACATGTTGGGCCAAGACCAAATTCATTGTGTCGCTCAGGAAGCTATTTAACAGTTTAACCAAACATTTAGATTATATACATTTTGAATTCTGACAGCTTTTTTTCTTAGTTGAATAACTGGTATAATATGATAAGAGGGGGAGGGGGTTGGGGGTAACCATAACAAAAATATAACATTTACCTTTTTTCTTATCTTTTTTATCTTTTTTATCATCTTTTACTTTTTTAGTGCCAATGTCCTCACTGGTTGTATTAGTAGTTGTATTAGATGCTTTAGTCTCTTCCTTTGGTTTAGGTTTGGGCTTGTAGTATTTCGCCTTACTAACAAGATACTTCACTTCCCTATCGAGGGCTTGCACTTTAGTTGCAATGTCCTCTATAAGGATTACTGGCTTTTCATATAGGGGGGTTTTCTCTTGCAGGGCCAATTGTTCTTCTCTCCAGGCCTGAAATTATTATGTAATCTTCTGTGAAAAAAAGTTGTACAGATAATTGCTCAAACAGTTAATAATATGTCATCAATATTTGTAAAAACACACTTAGTCTTTGACATTATAAATTAATTTATGTCTTCAAGAATAAAGGTGTTAATGCATTGTAATGGACATAATTTTAATGAAGCCTGGATGGTTTATTGTAAAATTATTATTAAGATGCTGAAACAAATCCTTATAGAAACCATAAAACAGACTGTTATGTTTAATTGAAATAAAGATGAACAATGGCCGATGCTTAAGTATAATAAAAAAAGCATTTGGATTAGGAGACTTACCGTAGTTTCATTGACAAGTTTGGCAAGTGTGTTGAACTCAACTTCAGTGAAGATCTCATCTCCTTCAGTCATACCTGCTGTAAAGTTCTTCATGCCTTCTTTGAAGTGAACTGAATAGTTGAGCATAGATTTGAGCGCATCTAAGGCAGCAGGCCTCTCTGATACCTCCTTTACACGTAATATGACATCTTTCATAGCCTTCTGGAGTGACTTTAGCTTATCTTTATAGTCCTAAGAGAAAACAAAACAATTTTTAAAGGGAACATTGTTAATAGATTGTCCTGCAATCTAACAGAACAATCTATAAAGAGAGCATATCCTGGACATTTATTTAATATATTTATTAGTTTCACGTAGGATTGTCAATGTAGGACAGGTTCAAATTGTGCTCATTACTTCCCACTTTGATTAGTCTAAAGGGAGATGGCATTGTGAAGGAAGTAGTTTTGCATGTAGATTAGCTTAGACATAATCAGGGAAATTGAAGATCAGCTTTACTTTCATACAAAGTTCAAGATATATTAAAAATCACTTTAAAGCATGAGAATTGTAGGCTGAGTTGACTCACCTGAGTTGGTACACTGTCTTCCTGTTCATACAGCCAATCAGAAGCCTCACTTAGTTTCCCTGACAACACACTACGCTCCTCCTCTGTTGAGCATTTCTCATAGTCCTCCTGGTAGAGTTTATCCTGGTAGGTGAATATGTAGGACTCCAGTTCATTTTTGGCAATCTCAAGAAGTCTTTTTTCCTCATCTTTCTTTCTCATATCATCAATCCTACAAAACAAGAAAGAACATGACCAGTCCCTTAACCAACATTCTCTTGTCAATTATTCTTGACATCCTCTGTAGCAAAGGAATAAATGTCACTTTTGAAGAATGTAATTGCTGAATCACTGAAGCTTACTTTGATGTCATTATATAGGCCTAACCTCATTCATACATTGACATCACTCTTAATTGAAACTTTTCTTGGCCTCATTGCATAACCGCACTCATCCTTAAAACCAACCAACATTTACAATTATATAACATTATATAATAAATACGCTTTAATCATATTGTAAAACTGCACTTACTTTTTCTTCATTGACTGTATTTTATCTTCAGAGGGTTCAGGTAGACCTCTATGTTCTGTCTTGGCCTCAATAGGTTCTTTGATTGTCTGTGGCTTTGGTGGTTTCTTCTCTTCTTCCTTCTCCTCCTTCTTGTCTTTGTCTCCCTTCTTGCCCTTCTTGTCTTTCTTGCCTTCCTTGAATATCAAGTCAAACCACATGTGTATTCTCCAAGTACGATAATTGTGTAGTATTTAGCAATGGGCGTGTACATTGACATGTATGTTCTTCTAAATACAATAACTGTAGTTTGAATATTCAAAATAACATTTTGGATTTAGTCAAGTTGGAAGCACAACTAGATCTCACTTACCCTGGAATCATATTTCTCTCCATTTGCCTTCTTTTTCTTCTCTCCATTCTTTGTCTCCTCTTTATCACCATCAGCCTCAGTCTTATCACCTTCCTGTTTAGTCTCCTCATCAGACTTGCCCTAGAAGAGAAATATAATGCATTCATGTTTTGAAATGAAAAAACAGAGGGCAAAGGAGTGGACAAGAATGAGACAAGCAAGGAAAGAAGAACTAGCAAGTATAGGAGAAGCAATAATTGAAGTACAAACAGGAAAAGAACAAGCAATGAATAAGTAAGGAATTAATTTGAAATTATCTTGAAACTTTTTGTATAGGTTGAATATGTTATTGCGAATTTTTCTCCCAAAATTGAGATTCATCACTTAAATCTTCAATATCTCATTTCAATATATTTTGTTATTGATCTGATATCATGCACACCTCAGTGGTGTCAGCTTTTTCCTCTGTTGGTTCAGTATCAGCTGGTTTGTCATCAGCTGGTTTGTCTTCATCTGCAGGCTTTTCTGCCTCCTCTTTGGTTTCCTAAGAACAACAACATGCAGAGTGCAGACTAAGACAACACTAGCATAACGTATACTGAATAATAAGGACAAAATGGGTCATGGTGGTTGTTTTTGAGATGTTAAATTGAGTGAAAAAGAAAGGAATCAGAATGGAAGTTGGTTAAAACTTTCAATGGTATATGATAGAAATATAGAACAGCAAGAAAATCAGACAGCTCATTTGAACAAGGGGCAGTTCATTCACACAAGGGGCCAGAAAATCAGAGAGTTCATTCAAACAAGGGGCCGGTAAATCAGACAGTTCATTCAAATTCATTTATTACATTTACACAAATACATTTTTGTTATCCCTACTAAATGGATCAGAAATTGGAAGGTTAAATGTGAACTCATTTTTTTATTTTAAAATGGCAGATGGTTGAAATTCTGTTAGTTCAGAAAGTTCTAGAAAACGTTTAAGTAGTCTAAAGTATAGGTTGTGCTATTGCTAATTAAACAGAATAACGTGCATAGTGTTATCAAATTCAGCGATCTTAATAAATTAATAGAAAGAAACTTAAATTGTACTTCAAGAAATAAGCTCTTGGTAATCATATCGCAAATATAAAATCATGTGACATCCATGAACAAAACAGCAAACACAAACATGTATACCTGTATATGAGCACTGTCAACAAGGACAAATGACAACAAAAACATTTAAGTCATAAAATTTCAAATGAACATTATACCTCTTTCTCTGGTGTCTCCTTAGTTTCATCATCAGTCTCTTTTTTCTGGTCCTCAGTGGCCTCTTTCTTTTCACCTTCCTTTGCCTCCCCCTCTTTAGCCTCACCCTCTTTAGCCTCTCCTTCCTTCACATCCTCTGATGGCTTCTCGTCTGTTGAGCCAGAGAAGAAGTTTGAGATTGTGTTGCCTAGTTCTGAAATATTGGCATGTTCTTGTTTTGAATTGTATGTTATGATTGCTATTGCTCACATGATTAAATGGTAACCAAATTCCTTTTCATGGCCTCATTGAATTTTTTTTAATTCACAAATATAAAACAACGGGTGAATTGAATGATACAAAACATTTCTCTAATATTTTGACGAATTTGCTTCGTTGAAAGTTTGGATTCTCAATATGTATAAGAACATTACAGCTTAACTCTCATAAGTCTGCTACATCTAGCAAAATTGGCATTTCCTGGTGTCTCTTGATGAACAGAAGAATATTGATTCATATTACTGCAAAATAGCAGAGCATAGATCCAGTGAATCGACTACTAAGAGCTTTAATTATTTTTCACTTTCATGATCTGGAAGGTTACATTTACAATATGACACAATATTGACATACAAAACAAAATAAAGCCCCAAGTGACCAAAATAAATTGCCCGTTTCTACCACCTAACATAAAAAAGCATAATTAAAATAATTCAGTTGCGAAAATGGAAAATGTTGAAAAAATGAGATTTATAACTATTTGCTACACTCACTCGTGTTCATATTTGATATCAACTCATTGGTAAAATGATACCACACAGAATGATGTGATATTACAGAGAACCCAAAATCACAAAAATATTCTTCATATATTTCAACTCCTTGTCACCAATATCAGCAATCGTTAACTGGGCTTCAAAGTGTTGAAAGAGTGGTATTGTTAATTCACTATTGGATTTGATATAATGATGAACATTGTGAAGCAGTATTTACATCAGGCGTTCTGCTATGAGATTTCAAAACAATTCAGCCAAGGGATTCAACATGTTCAAAGAGGAGGATTTATACAGACAGAGAGGTAAATGCTAAATTAATACAGCTAAAGACTTTAGTGTTACGCCATATACATCTTTTCACGAAACAGGCCATGTAATATTAATTGCTAACGCAAGACCCCAAATTAGTATAGTCTGAAGCTAGGAGCTACAACATCCAAGTCCCCATGCCACTTACTGGCAAAAGAGAAGGCTTCATCTGTTTTATCTAAACAAAAATCAACAAACTGACCCTTCATAATTCCAGACTGTAAAACATGTTATTCAGCGTAGAGCACATTTCTGAGTTCAGAACTCAGAAGTTTGCAAAACAGAACCAGATCGTATAACAAGGTTTACAGTATTATACATAGACAATATCTTCAACTGTTTAACAAAATCACTTTTTTAAACTGGAGACCATTTCCGGAAAAAAAACGTTGTCTTTGGGATTGCTATAATTCAATTGTCATTGATACATGACTATAGCAACAAAAGACAATTGAATGTCAAAGACAATTGAACGTCACAAGTCGTCACTGACAATGTTTTCAAGAAATGACCCCCTCTCTGAAAATTAACTGAATCTACAACAATATTAAGATGCTCTTTACTCAAGACAAGTACCACCTCCCATATTTGCATGAATGTGTCAATATTCTATAAGAAATACAATAACCAGTGTACAGGTTTTTACAACAATCAATACTACTCACTAGACAATGTTGACTGGTCATCTTCTGGTGATGGTTGCTTTTCAAATTGGAACTCCACCTATAAATAGAGTAATATTTACAAATGGCTGTTCTTCAATTTGAAGTTCATGTTTTAAGTACAATAATATTTATAGTTGGCTGCTTTTCGACATTTTATGTGAGTGCGGAAATACCTCCGCTCTTACAGCTGAATAAAATAGGTCCTTCTCTAATGTTAACACTAAATTTCATCACATTGAGCGAACTGGATTTGAGTCCATTTAAAACAGGGCAGATACTGCTGTATTAGAATTCAACTGAAAGGCCAATGAGTATATGGGAATGAAGTGATTTAATGGAATTTCTATCATATTCTTATAGGAAAACCTCTTCATTCATTTCATCAATTCATCAGCATCATTTATACTACATCCTCATTTCTTTTGACATGTACATCATGTATTCCACTCTTTCCTTCAAGACTTTCACTTTAAGATGTATTACCTTATCTAGAACCAGTATTCCACTCTCATCCATCTTGAAGTGTGCCTTGACCCCCTTAGACTCTGCATCCTTGCCATATTTGGTATGTGCGTCTGCTACACCCGCCAGTGACACCTTGTTCAGTTCAAGGTCACCAAATGTCCTACAACCAGTTTCATATAATGTTAGAGTGCAATACTAAGACTTCTAATCTGATGCTCAAAATTAATGTATTCATCTACTTATCATGTTGTTCTCTTACATATACATGTAACCATTTGCTGATCCAATTCAAATATAAGCAGTGATTATGTCACACTCTGCTTTCTAAAATCTGGGAGGTATCAAATTAGGTTGGATTCACATTAATATGCAAAGCTCATGAATAATTAAATAGAAATATATAATATTAATTAAGATAAATAAAAAATAAAAAACATTGATTTAAAATTTTATTCATAGTTTCTTACTTTAGCTCTGTCTCAGATAAAAATGACAGGTCTCCGTAATTAACATCAAATGTGAAGTCTGTGGTGTGCTTGTTGAAGGTCATCACCTTCTTCTGGGGGAATGGGTTCCACCGTCCAAACAGGGTACGTTTCACAGTCTTTGTGGACTCCTTTCCATCATCATCAACTTTGGTTCTTTCAAACTCAACCTAGGAGGGTGGCATAATGCATGACATGAGCAAACTGTATTGGAAAATCTCAGAACAATTTTGAAGGGGCATGTTCAAGAAATTCTGAACAGTAAAGTCACACTCACATGAGCTCTACAGCAGCCAATTAAGCTTCACAGAATCAATATAGAAAATCTACATCGAACTGCCTATATTCCATGCTGCATATTTCTCTCAATTTGGGAAACTACAGCAACTGTATAGTGGGTTAATTTAGCGCTACTTAATTTGGTGATTTTGCCATTTTTATCATTTTTGGCATATTGGCGGCTATTTAATTTGGAGGACACCAGGGCTTGGACACTGGAACAAAATACAAATTGTTACACATGTTCCTTCAACTCAACTACTATGTCTAGTAATTTATTATTGAAACGATTCCCTTGGGGCAATTTAGAAGTAGCATGTTCTGATTAACACTCTTATCCTTATCCAGATTTTGTAAAAACTAAACCAGAAGTGACTTGAACACAACAGACAACATTTTTGGGGATCCCTTTTAAATTTTGGCGAAGATGTAGATTGGCATTTTTTCTATTTCGCCAAATTCACCAAATTAAAGTAGGCGACAAATTGACCCAATCTACAGTAGTTGCCATAGATCAAATGTGACAGAGGCATTAGAGGTGTCTGATCAATTTGACATTCTGTTTTTCTGGAATCATGATGAAAAAAAGTAAGATGCCATCACAATCAACCAATGTAGTCATGGTGACATTAAAACACTAGTAGTGTACAAAAATGACTTTTGACCTTTATTAGTCACTACTGGAGCACAATGTAAGGTCACAATGGGTTGCACATATGAACTCCTTTTGACATCTAACAGATAATTTATCCCTTTTTGACATCTTTTTCTATTTACACTTGGTAGTAAAGTACACTAAATATTCTACTTGAATGTTGAACTCTTGCTGTTTATCATGTGCTAGACATTCACATTACATGATACAGTAAAACCCGTAAAGTGGAACACCTCTTTAACTGTTAAAGTGAAACACCCCAGTCAGTGAAATACCTCCTTAATAGTAGAACACCCCCAGAGTACTCTGACCAATTGACTAATGTTAAATGAACCCCTGTACATGAAAAACCTCTTAAGCAGAACATTTTTACCAAAGATACCAAAGGTGTTCCATTTATGCAGGTTTTACTATACAGCAAAAAACAAAGTAAGTCTTAGTATCTAGAGCACATTCTGTCATAAGCTCCTTAACAGAAAACAAAAATATGAGAGTTATAACACTTTTAGTTCTGAGCTGTTTTGGTCTCGAAAAGGCTGATACTGGAAAGGTAACTATGTTTTACTTTTCATTATTGCATTACTAATAATTAAGTAAACAGAGTAAGGTGAAGCACTCCATCAATCTATCTTGGACATAACTTTTTAAATAAATGACTGTTTGTAAAATAGAACAAATATAATTTTTCCTAAATGTCCTATACAAAGTGGTAACAACTACTTTATTATCGTAGGTGCTGATTCAACCTTTTCCACTGTTTAAATTATCAAGAATCAGAGCTATGGAGCAGATAGCATTACTCTTTTCAAATGCTGGCCATGATGTAACATACTTCATCCACACGGAATACACTGCCTCAGAAATACTTCAAGCAGCGAATGTTACCATTATAACATACCAGTACCCCAGTAAGGACCTAGCATACAATCTGGGAGAGGATAAAATAACAGATTTCAGGAAAATGACAATTCTAGAAGAAATGGCATATATGTTTAAAAAAGGACTAATCCACGACATATATGTTAACTATTCAATTTCTGCCTATTTCTCAGATATGAACCAGTGGAGGGGACTCAAAGCTCAGAACTTTGATTTAATAATATTTGACAGTCAAGATGTTGCTTTAGGAAGGCTCATGAAGGAATATCTAGACAGACCTGCCATACTATGGTCAAATGCCGGCTTTGAAATGAATATCGATAACTGGCTGGTGCCATTCCCTGTATCATATATACCTATCATGTTTGTGTCATATAGTGACCAAATGACTTTTAAAGAACGAGCAATGAATGCATTTTACTATGTGGCATTACAGTACTACATGAAAGACTGGTGTGATACGACAAATGATGCTTTGGCAAAGGTTGCTGATAAAGTTGGACTCCCACATGAAATTAGACCTGTTCTCAATGATGCAGACCTCATATTTATCCAGTCTAATTTTCCATACTTCTACCCTCGTCCAATCATGCCAAATGTTGTCCCTGTATTAGGGTTACTAGATCGTGACCATAAGCCAGTTGATGCAAAGTTTCTCAACTTCATAGATGGCGCTAAAGATGGTTTTATCATCTTCACACTGGGTTCAATGGCAACAGGTTTCGATGCGCAAACTCGGGAGATTTTTGCTACTGCGTTTGCGATGTTGAAACAACGAGTTTTATGGAGGTATATTGGCTCTGCTCCTCTATCACTAGGCAACAATACAATGTTGTCACCATGGTTACCACAAAACGATCTTCTTGGGCACCCAAAATTGAAATTATTCATTACCCATTGTGGATCAGGAAGCTCGGGAGAAGCTGTTTACAATGCCGCACCTGTTATTGGTCTTCCTTTATTTTTAGACCAGCGCCACCACTGTGCTCTCTTGACAAAACGTCATAAAATGGGTTTAACATTATCATTTGCTGATATCACATTGGACACATTTTCAGCTGCGATTGTTGAGGTCCTTGGAAACCCTCAATACAAGAAAAATGCTGTGAAAGCACAGAAACTGGTCCGGGATCAACCCATCAATGCTACATACACAATTCAGTACTGGTGTGAATACATTATGAAGCACAAAGGTGCACACCACTTGAAATCTACTGCCATGTTTGAACTGAACTTCTTTCAGTACTTCTTGTTGGACATACTACTGCTAGTATTAATCACTGTGGTGATTTCCTTGGCTGTACTATATTGCTTTTTTAAACAGTTGGTATTGTGCCTTTGCAACTATAAGTCTCAGAAACTTAAGACGTCATAAGACATATATATTCTAAGCAAAAAACTCTTTGCAGTCATGCCACAAGGATGAGATATATCTAGCCAAAATGACGCAACATCCGAGGAGGAGCAGACATTGAATACATCTTATGACGCAATTATGTAATCCAAAATTTCAAATGGCAAGAGTTAAAACTTATTCATTGGCTTTTGATTTGGCTTTTAAATAATAGAAGCTGTACAGGCGTTTCAAACTAAAATGAATATTCAAAATGAAAATCAATAAAAAAAATTGTGAGGAATGCATCTTGTAAATAGAATATGAAAAATGTTGGTATACTCTAAAATGTGTGAGAATATTTGAAGAAACACTGATAAGCAGTTTTCCTGGAATAATAATGACATGACATGATTTACCAAAAACTAACTAAAACAAGAAACTTGTGAAATAAATATAGTTCTTTCTCACCTGTATGGGGAACATGTTGGCCTCTTTTACCAGGAATTTCAAAACTTTGAATCCTTTACTGAGATGGGCAGCTTGGTAAACAGCACCTTTAAACATAAAAGACTAATTATATAGAGATAGACTAACTCTATAGAGGTTGATATATCATAGTATTCCATTAAACCAAGCTGATCTAGGTACTTATAATCTAATAAACTAATAATCAAAAACAGATTTCATTGGAAGTGAATACATGGCAGGCCTGTAGCCAGGGGGGGTTCGCAGGGTTTCTTTCAAAATCATGCAGTTTTTCACCATTTTGAGCATTTCTCAAGTGATTTTGGCCATATTTGGGGCAAAATTGTCAAATGTGAACCCCCCTGGAAATTTTTGAAAACTGAACCCCCCCTTGGCAAATCCTGGCTACATGCCTGCATGGCATTCAAAAATTCACCAAGTAAACAACTCATTTTGCATTTTAGCAAAAAATTTTAATTGTAACAGATTCATGTTTTTATTTTTCTTGCGAATATAAACAGCACAATATACAGAATGAATTATTATGAAGCATTATATCCATATCAAACTCTTAATTATATGGGTGTTGTCCCAGAACCTGAGATTGTCTACCCACCTAGTGCAGCAGCCTCATCTGTATTTATACTCTTTCCCAGGTCTTCTCTCTTTATTTCAGCCAGAATCTTCTCCTGCACCTTTGGAACACGTGTACCTGCCCCCATCAGTATAACCTCATTTATCATTTCCTATAATACGGAGAAATGCAGTCGTGTAATCCAATGTCAACTGTAGTAATACTTGCACAGCCAGGTGCTGCTACAGAGAACATATTTTGATGGACAGTCATCTATTGTGTCAAATGAGAGTTTTCCAAATGTGATGCTTAATGCGATTCTTGATTCCATATTTCCAGAGACATAACATACAACAAAGATTTAAACACTTTACAAATTGAAAATACAGTTGACTAACCATAGATATTTCTGCAGCATCCATGGCATCTTTAATAGGTTTGCTCACTCTCTCCATGAGATCTTTACACATCTCTTCATATTCATCACGGGTAACCTTTGCACGGAAGTCAATATCCTCAACTAAGCTCTCAACCTAAATCGAAAAATGGATATTTTAGCAATGGGTTTAGTCTTAACTAAGAAGGCATGTATGAGTTCTCAAATCCCTTTACACATTATATTTGTAAGTAGTAAAACAAAGTAAAGTACAAAACAGTTTTTATGACCAGAATGCCTCTTTTGTGTATAAAACCATCCAAATCAATAAATACAAGACATTTTAAAATCTTGCTTCCAAGGAAGCCAATACACAACTACAATTGACCAGCAATTATGAAGATTATAACAAGGAGGAGCTGTCATTTTGAACATACCTGAGCATAATGTTCAGTGTTTGCACTAAGGACGGTTTTTAGTCTGCCAGCTTCCTTGAAAAGCTTAGCCATAGATCTAGGGATTTCTGTCACATCTTGGGGAGTCTTCTTCTGCTCATTGAACAGCTTGGCCAGATGTTTCTGTAGACGTAACTGGAATTCTACTCCTCCAAGGGACCTGTCATATCTGAAAGACAACAAACAATAACACAGTCTTAGTTACCTACTGTTTTAGCAACCTTGATATTTACACAAGACTTACTCTGAATATATGAAGATTTTCCAACACGATTTTAATACTGAAATTCTTTAAAACCACTGAGAAAGTCAAGTAACATTTATCATCAAAGGCATATTTCTCTTATCCATATGATCTTATCATCTTATCTATTTTGTAACAATGTCCCCTAGCAGAGAATGTCTAGGATTATATTAAATACCGAGACAATTTCTTTGATAGACATGTCAATGTAGGCACTGGTATTTTCCTAGGGCTACAGAAACCCAAGGGATTTTCAGTCAGAGCCACAAATATACATGATAAGGGTGTATAAGATGAGCGAATTACAGACCAGCTAGTTCAAACTGAATAGTGGTTGAAAAAATCAATGGGCCAAGATCAAAACTAACTGGTTCCACTCCCTCTTGGCCTTATGTCACACACAAATGATAAGGTTTAATTTCTGGGCCACTTACCCCACTCCTTTAATAGTGACCTGGGGGTTGGTCTCCACAATGGTTCCCTCCTTGGTTTTCACAACCTGGTAGGCTAAAAGCACATCAAATATGTCAAATAAGAATGATGGATATTCGATTCATGATACGATTTCTTGTCCTTGAAGGTTTTTGAGCAAACTATTGTTCCACCTAAATCACTTTCTTGATTCATTTAATTTTGGAGTTAAATTTCAGTTTCTGTTCTCAGACATAGCACTTAACATATAAGAGCAACTTGAGATTTTTACATTTTAAAGTCAATGGATAACATCTGGGGGGGGGGGGTTCTAAGGCATATATGTCATATACAACATGTAGATTGTACATACCTGCAACAGTGGCAGTAGTACTGGTAGAGCCCATGTCGTAGAACATGTAGTACTGTGTTGTGCTGTTAAAGGACTTCCTCCTGAATACACCATAGTTTAGAGCCACTGGAATGGAGGAAATTAACTATGTGACTGCATAAATCAGCAAGACAACAAGTGATAAGTATCGCACTTTGAAGAGCAAAATGGTCACCATGTAATTCAACCAGCATGCCAAACACCTCATCAGGCTGATCATTCGTCTGCTCAAAATGCCAAATTAAAAAATATCTGATAATATGCTTGGTATTTTTATAAGAAGCATATGGCTTTGGCTGCACATATGAATATTTAATGGATGGGAAATCTTTATAAAAGGTGATCCTAAAAATGCAATCTTCTAATTTTAGAATAACTTTTTCAATTATGGTGGATCTTATTGTGTTCTATGTGTAGAGAGTGCTCAATGGAGCAAACAGATCATTCCATCATAACTGAAGACTTGCATTTTGGGGTCACTCTATAGATGTGAAAATAGATACCAGAGGAGAAAAACTCCATACCTGCCGAGTTATCATTCATCAGTTGTAGGACCTTCAATCCAACCAAGTCTGCTGCTCTCATCACAGACTTCCTCTCAGCCTGGTTAAAATAAGCTGGAACTGTAATCACAGCCTCCTTCACAGGTTGTTCAGCAAATGTTGATGCAATATCTTTCGCTTTTTCCAAAACCATGGCTAGTAGCTCTTCTGGACTGTATGTTTCACTGTGGATAAAAAATTGAGTATTGGCTAAACGTAGGTGTGTATCATATGAATATCAGTTTTCATTCATAATTTCGTTATTCAATATTCATGCAACAGTGAGCCCCCAGTATTTAAGTAACTGGGGAACCAAGGTTTCACTGTGGACAAAAGAAGATGTTTATTCATGATTTTTCACATTATTAATACCACAGGGATTTCCCTAGCGCTAACATAAATGGTTGGAGGGAGAAATTGAAAATTGTCTTGCAATGATTTGAGAAAACTTCTTGTATGAATTGGAATTCAATTCACTTGTTGTTACTAAACAAGAATTGTAATCTCGATCTTTAAAATCAACCTTTGATTTGATTTGAGAAAACTACTTGTAAGCAACTAGAAGTATTTTCCTGTCTTTGTATACTATAATTCATTGTAAAATAATCTAAACAACTAGTGTCTCTAAAAATGTTTTCTCTCCCAGTCACATACCCCTCATGTCTGAAAACGACTGTATTCATTTGTTCATCCTGCTCAAGGGTGGCATCAGGGAATCTCCGCTGGTATTGCTGAACAAGTGGATTATCCAGAGGCTTAGCTAGGAGGTCATTCAGGAACTTAAAGGCAGCTTTGGGATACCGGACACTCTACAAAAACATTTAACATTTCATGACTCGAACATGTATGACTTCAGTGTATGGCAGGAGATCCTCCAAAAATAAACAATGTTGAACAAAAAATGAATTTTTAATATTTTAATATTTTTTTAATTTTAAGTACTGTGATATGAAACAGTAAAACAATGATAGAATTCTATTCAGAATTAAATATAGATTTTAAGGATAATTGTCTTCTTTCAAAGAAGCTTCAGAATTATATGAAAATTCAAAAAAATTTCTTTGATAGACATGTCAATGTAGGCACTGGTATTTTCCTAGGGCTACAGAAACCCAAGGGATTTTCAGTCAGAGCCATAAATATCCATTTGCACAATTTCAATTCCAATTCAATTCAATTACTTACATCCAAATGATGAATGGGCATCAGACAAGAACAGAGAGCCCAAATGGCTAGTTCCATAAGATTTATACACAGCTTTTAAAAAACTGCATGTTTTTTTACCACAAATACTGCACTGGTCATTCAAGCAATTCATTCTTAGTCAGTATTCATATGATCACTGAACTATTGTTTTAAATTAGCCAATCAAATTACACAGATTTTAGAAATAACATATTAATAATATTTACTGTTGTCAGTGCTCCATCTCCAATCAACCGCTCTCCATTCCTCATTGTGATGACAACTGGGGTTTTACGCTTTGACTCTCTACAAACCAAAATATCAACAATATTGCCAAATAAAATGTTCAATAAATAATACAGTAAAATCTGTGTAAGTAGAACACCTTTGGTACCTCAAAATATTGAAAAACTAAGGAGGAGATCCAACTTAAGAGAAGTTCATTTTACAGTAAGTTTATTGCAAACTGGGAAGTATTCCATTTACATTTGATGATGATGTAATTAGAATTGTATTTATAAGCAACTTTATTTTTGTATTCAGTAGTTAGTTTAATCTTAGGTCAATTTTGTATATTGTAGTTTTTAGTTTTTTAGTGACTAATTTAGTGACTGTCATTGTAATGACATCAGAGAGTCAACAAAAGATACATATATATATGAACACATATTCCACTTCTGAAGGGGTACCATCACTGGAGATGTTCCACTTAACAGGTTTTACTGTATAAGTATTTCCAATTCTTATTACAATATTATAAGTTATTGAATGATTTGAAGTGCAATACAGGATATATTCTGCTCGAGAAATTCCGTATTGGAACGAAACGAAGTCTCAGTAGCAATACAGATTGCTACAGCACAAGAACTGACCAATCAGAAGGCTTCATTTTAAAGATCATACGATAATTTAGAATGTTAATTTATTTGGAGAATTCAATAGTCAATCAATTTGACATAATCGATGGTTACTTAAATTATTCAGATTGGGATTTATTATTTGTATCAATTATCATAATGACAGCTTAATTGAAGCTTGACTGTCTGTGGGAGTAATTTAGTCCTCAATGTAATTAGAATGACTGTTATACCCTGAAATATGTCTGATTGCAAATTTACTAATCTGTCACTCATATCAAAATTCCTTCATTGAAATCTAGTTCTTGACATTAAAATGTAAATCTCTGTTTATTATGCCAAACATGAGATATCAAAGCCTTCAACGAGTTTCTTGCAAGCAAGTATTTCTTTCTAAAAGGCATATTGTTAGTTTTGAGCTGTAAGATGTTAAACTATGTTGTTCAACTTGTACTTAATCTCCCATAAAACACGGCTGCAAATAACAGATTTTTTTTTACAATTCTGCTGCATACAAGCTTAGACCTCTGTTACCTAAATGGTACAGTATACCATCAGTGTTCTCCCTAGGACTTTTACATGTCTCACATGTCTCACCTATTTTCAAAAAAGAAGATAAACAATCTAAATTAAACTATAGACCAATCTCTCTTTTGTCCTGTATATCCAAAGTCTTTGAACGTTTAGTATTCAATGTATTATATAACTTTTGTAAAATAAACAATATCTTAACTCCCAGAAATTCTGGTTTTAAACCAAACGACTCAGCAATAAATCAACTGATAAACTTAGTTAACAAAATTTACAAAGGCTTGGATGATCGAAATGAAATTATGATAATCTTTTTAGATATTTCCAAGGCATTTGATAAGGTTTGGCATACTGGTTTAATTTACAAGTTAGAATCATATGGAATTTCTGGTCAACTTCTAAAATGGTTGAAAAGCTATCTTTCTGACCGCAAACAGAGAGTTGTCATAAACGGTGTTCATTCTGACTGGCGCTACATCGAAGCAGGTGTCCCTCAAGGCTCAATACTCGGACCTCTACTATTTCTGTTTTACATCAATGACATTGTTGAAAATAAAGATACCGACATAAACCTTTTCGCTGATGATACCTCTCTACTTGAAGTGGTAAACGACCCTATACTCAGCTCAGTTAAAATGCAACATGATATAGACCAAATAGAACAATGGGCAGAAAGATGGAAAGTTACTTTTAATGCTGCCAAGTCAAAACTTCTGATAATCTCACTTAAACAAAATAAATTTAATTATCCTGATATAAAGTTAAACAACTCTGTAATTCAAACAGTTGATCACCATACCCATTTAGGACTTACAATTCAATCAAATATGAGCTGGCACCTTCATATTAACAATATTGTAAAGAAAGCAAATAAGAGACTTGGCCTCCTTAAAAGGAGCTCATTTAAATACAACTTAAATCAAAATGAACTAGAAACATTATACTTTTCAATGGTTCGATCAGTACTTGAATATGGTGACGTCCTTTATAATAATTGTCACTTATTCCAAAGTAAATCATTAGAAAACATCCAAAGAGAAGCTGCTATATTATGTTCACATGCCTATAGACATACTAAATATAATGACATTTTGAATGAACTTGGCTGGGACTCACTCAAAACCAGAAGACAATTACATATTACCACCATTTTCCATAAAATGGTTTATCAAAATGCCCCGCTTTATTTGACTGACCTCTTAACCCCTCTCTCCCAAAAGCAGACCAGATATAGCTTAAGAAACCAAAATTCTTTCAATATACCCTTCTGCAGACTTAACATTAATTACAAGTCGTTTCTTCCAAATGCCATTAGAATATGGAACAACCTTGAACAACAGTTTAGGAACATTGGTTATCTCCCTCTATTTAAATATAAACTTAAACATTCTATTTGCAAAAGCAAAAATAAACTTTACTCATTAAAAGCCAGCAAATCTGCAATTAATCATGGGAGAATCCGAATGGGTCTCAGTGCTTTAAACCATCAACGTTTCTCTTACAACCTCATAGACTTCAAACATTGTGCTTGTGGTTTCGCACAAGAGACACCACTTCATTATTTTCTTGACTGTCCCCTCTATGTTGCCCAAAGAACAACTCTTTTCAGGGAATTAGGGAACATAGCCGTAACCAATAGACTTAATCTTCTCAATCATATTATCCATGGAAACAAAGATTCTTCATTCATTGACAACTGCACTCTATTTAATCATGTCCAGACATTCATCAGAGACACTCAGAGATTCTTATAACCATATAAAACTGTCTAACCTATTGCATGACATCTCAAAATTTTATATGTAGACCCCTAGGGGATGTAATAGTGTAAACTGTAAACCCTAGGCTAAATAAAATGATTTAAAAAAAAAAAAAAAAAGGACTTTTACTTTTCTCAAGTACATGTAGATGCAAAATTCTCATTTTCACAATCAGTCAAAAATTGGACAAAATATGCCAATTTTTCTCATTTTCATGTGGGTGCAAATGAAAGTTCAGGTGGGTGCAAGCCTGTTTTTAAAAATCAGGTGGGTGCCTCTTGGCTACCCAGAATGACGAGATTTCTCATCATTAGAAATGACCTTGAAACCCAGAGGGACGAGAAAATCCATCACAAAAATTGTTTTAAAACATGTAGAATTGATCTCTGCCATCTAATTTTACTAAGTTGAGCATCGATAGTTGTATCTAAAGGTATGTAGTAAAATGTTTCAACTGATTTTAGAGCCTGGGATTCAAATAGGTTAATGCTAGGGAGATCACTGATATGGTAATGCTATAATGAGTTGCTTGGCAAACAATCCAGTAATTGTAGTTTCTGGATTATATTCTTTAATGTTTAATGGTGAAGTACAGTGAAAACGCTCTATTTGGAATATACTTTAAATGCTTACTCATTGTAGGCAATTTCCATAGGCACTCCTGGCTGAAAGAAAAGAATGAGATATTATTTATGGAGGACATTTGATACAGATATGGACTTTCCTTTGGAAGACTAAGATAGAGAAGGATTTTTCCTCCAATGTCTTATCAACAATTATCTCTCACTTTTCATTACTAGAAGGTTTTCTTTCTTCAATAAGTATCTAAACACCATCTGATTCTCTCTATCAATGAAATAGCAGTAAATCTATGCACTTTGAATAACAGAGAGGAGTTCAGATTTACATTGTTTTTTCTTTCTCAGATATGTAATTCAATTCTCACCTTTACAATAGCAATCTTCATAAATTCACTTCCCAGATCAACTGACATAACAGCAAGGCCATCTGCAAGCAAAATACAATTTACATCAACCTCTAAAATAACCAGGTATTTTCTTGCATAACTTCACATATCAGACACATTCCAGTGATCTCCCCAGTATTAAAGCAAGTGGATGCAGCGCCTACCTAAGATTTAAAAAACAGGCTTACACCCACCTGAGAATCCATTTGCACCCACTTGAAAATGAGAAAAATCATGAAAAATTGGCATATTTTGACCAGCTTTTGTCTGGATTGTGAAAATGAGAATTTTGCACCGACCTGAGAAAAAATCCTGAGGAGATCACTGCACATATCATACATGAATTGATTATCTGACTACTTCATATCATATAACATAATATAATAATATTATTTAACAAAATATTGTGACAGCCTGCCCTTGTTTCTGACAAGCCTTAATGATTTCTAATTTGGAATTCATCTGAAATGGCCTACACATGTCATTTTATACTGCATTGTATTGTACTATATTGTTGTACACTGTCCTGTACCGTATTGCAGTGCTCTGTACTCGTGTATTGCATAATGCTCCACCGTTTCCAAAGGGATAGAACATCAACACGATTGAAAAAATCTCTGTGTTTTATCTTGATTAATACAATCAGGCTCAAATATTACAAAAAGCCGTCATAACATATGTTATAGTGCCAACATATGTTATAGTGCCAACATATGTTATAGTGCCAGCATATGTTATAGTGCCAAAGTATGTAATTGTGCCAACCAGACCCATTGTGAAAATGTATGTAGGTATTTGATATTAAAACGTTCATATACATGACAGCTTATGACTATGAAAATACATTCTTGACATGACTGGCTGTCAATATGTTATTAATTTTCAAATAGGATGTCTCTATGGTGGTTGTGACTGGTAGCTTGTCATAGTGATGCCCATGTTCACCCTTGCTCAAAATTCTCGTTACTACAATTTACTTATATCACAATCACAAAACAATTTATAATACAAAAAAGAACAACAAGAAAATATCAGATTTCCCCAAAATAGTCACTAAAAGGCTTAAAGGTATATAATATGAGCCAGTGATCTCCATAGGATTTTTTCTCAAGTGGGTGCAAAATTTCCAAAATTTTCCCAATTCATACCAAAATTGGTCAAAAGGGCATATTTTCATGATTTTTCTCATTGTCAAGTGGGTGCAAATGGATTTTCAGGTGGGTGCAAGCCTATTTTCAAAATCTCAGGTGGGTGCTACTTCCACTTGCTTTAATGCGGGGGAGATTACTGTGAGATATGTTAAAACAGCTGAATCTACATTATAACATGCTATGTCATGATATCAAATTTAATTCACTGCATACTCCAACAAAACATATTGTTAACAATCAGATTATAAGTTAAATAACAATGGTATTGCTGAAAGCAGCTGTCTGACATATTTCTCCATAAACAAGCTATTCACTTTTTGTATTCCATTATCAATATTTAATATCAGTTCTGGTTATCATTGTATGGCACTGCATTACATATTTGAGTAGCGCAACATATATTGCAGAAGATGAAGTTATTTAATATCATGTCTACAATGCATACTGTTAATGATATTGAACACTGAATTGAACACTTTAGTCACAAAATAATGTGATAAATGTGTTAACATATAGACATTTCTTAAAGTCCACAGTGAACTAAGTTTTCTGGTAGAACTTTTTAACCTGCATATATAAAGAGAGAATTCAGAAAATCATGTAAAAGTAGACAGATTCTGAATATTTCTTGGTCAGAATCTTAAAATGAGATACATTGTATTTAGAGGACTGCCGTATGCTCATTCTATATATTTATTCATATTTAAAAACACAAAGTTTTAGAAAGAAACAATGATACATACCTGCATGGTTGATATATATGGCCAGGAACAGTGCCAGTAAGAGAGTCAGTGGACCTTTCCGTTCAGGCATTGTCATCTCACCTTAAACATAAAATAGGATATACTAGTAGTAGAACCAGTTAGTGTGTGTGTCGTGAGAATGAAAATAAGTTATGTAAGGAAATAATTGTTGGTATAACATAGATTGAAAATCGCAAACGATAATGCGAGTTTCGCATATGATGATGAGTTTTTCGCATGTTATGATGCGAGTTTCAAATCATATAGTTCAAGTGTCGCATAATATGGTTCAACTTTTCACATGGATCATGTATTGTCCAATTTTGATACAAAATAAATTCTATATCATACAAGGCCGTAGCGTATGCATGATGCATTTGTAATGAGTTTAAGCTCACATTTCTCTAAAATGAAGTAGGGGTTATCTCTGCCAGGTTTGTTTATTGGTGTTAGATTTTAATGGTAAATGCTCAGGTGCAAATAATTTATGTGCGCAAAATATTCTAATAATCAGATTGGTTTTACTTTACAGTGACACATGCGTACATGTGCCATATTTTTCTAGTCATTTAGTTTCATTCCATTACATGGAATTTGTGTTTCAATGTATTGTAACTTTGGCAAAAATGGTAGAACGTATGCAGAATTAACAGGTAAAATCACTTCAAGATTTTAGATAATATTCTTGCCTATAATAGCAAACATTTACCCTTTACATTTGTTTGACTTCACTTCTTAAAAGAGAGCTTCGTCTTCGTAGTTTAACTAGACTCTGCACGCAGGGTAGCAAACATTATGCTTTATTTGTGCATTCTACCTTGAGATAAGAGTCTCAGGCGTAAACAGGCAAATCCATTTTTGAGGAGTACTTTGTCTAGTTTGAAGACCCAGTTGTTTTTATTATTGCAAGCACTGTGGGTTTTTTCTTGAACAATTGAACCTTTAACGTCATTTCAAATATTGTCTATCTATGGAATTTTAGAACACCGTCAGTTATCAAGCTTTTCGTGTCTCTAATTTGAGAGTTTTAGAACTTCTTTATTAACGATCAAAGTATATTCTATGATGTGTAGAAACCTCCAAATCCCAATGTTGAAAAAATCTAAAATAACAAATACACCCCATGCAGACGGATCACCTGAAATTACATTCGTATTATGCGAGACTCGACATTCACCAGGAGAGTAGAAATAATTTGTCACCCATGTTGCAAATAAATTTTTTACTGCTTAATAAATGGTCAAGGACAGTTACATTGAGTTAAATAAGTATGAGAATAGCATGAAATCTTGATATTTGGAGGTAACTCATTCGAAAAGTGATGGCAGTGATCGAAATTACGATGTAAAGATAAATCTGTAATGAAATATTTGTAGATTTCTTTGAAAAACTAAGAAATATACATCACATATCAAATTTTTCAAAACAGAAAAAACATGTATAAAAAGTAAGGCCTGCAGGTCAGATTCCCCTTGGTAGCATTAACATTGGTCTCATACATGTCATACAATTAATATTTGAAATACAACTATCATTTGAACTGATGATCGGACATAAGTATGATGTTACTTTATTAATATTACATTGAAGTACACATCATTCTAATGTCCGATTATAAATTTGAATAATAGTTGGGTTTCAAATATTAATTGTATGACTTATATGAGACCAATGTTTTTATTAGTCTTATTACACTGTATTACATGTATACTTACCCGGATATTACTACGATTTACTGTGATATCATTGGTAGTAAGACTAAAGTCAATATGATTGGTCTGGTCTGCTTTTACGCAATTGCACAAGTTATGAATTGGTTCGAACAATAAACAACAAAGATCAGCTGATCGACAAATCAATCGAAAATCCATGTATTTTCACATGGAGGGTTAGGTGTAACGTCGCCCATGTAGGTAATTGTCGGATGAAAGACTGCATACACTGAGTGTCCGACAATTACCCACATTGCCAACATTGCTCCCCTATCCTCTAGTTTACTTGTCTAAGATCTATAACCTACAGTAGATCTATCAACCATTTTTCTCAGCCAGAGTTGTCAAGAAATTAGTCATATAAATCTGACCCTCGTATGATGTTATTTGTTGTTATTTTTTCTGATTTGGATATTTATTTTTTCTTATTTTCTTGCATACAAGGGTCGTACACACTCCGCGCATCTAAATTGCGGGAAATGCTTTCCTGGCCTGTCTACCCAACCAAATTCACACAAATGATAAATAAATGTCTTTGCTTCAACTATAAAGTATTTAATCTTACCTTAGACACGTAAAACGCTTGGTAATTGAAGACATATAAGCATGCCGCTTGAATTTTAAAATTTTTTCATTTTGCCATGCCAAGGTCACTTCCGGGTTAATCTGAGTCTAGATGTAAAACTATATCAAACGAAATCATAAGTACTTGTTACACGAAGATTCAGTTGAAAGGGAAGCAGTGTCGTTAAGAAGGGAAGTTATTTGGAAAAGTTATTGTTTCAAAATGAGAAAAGTAATAAGTATAAGAGAACGGCTTTGGAATCGATCTCTGTGTAATAAATAATTATGATTCCGTTTCGATACATGTTTTACATTTAGACTACCGGAAACAGCATTCAGCAACATGGCGGGCGATAATGAAAATATAATTCAATTGATCATATTTCGTCAATTATCAAGCGTTTTACATGTCTAAGGTAAGATTTAACACTTTAATGTTGGAACTAAATAATTACTCGATAATTTGTGTGACTTTGGATAGTATGGTAACTATGGTTACCGAGACAGGCCAGAAAAGCGTTTACCGCAATTTGTTCCATATAATATCTACGACGGTGTATGCAAAGAAAATGATAAAAAATAAATATCCAAATAAGAACAAGAAATATCGAAGAACAGCATACAACGGTCGGATTTATATGACTATCAAGAAATTAGAAGACTGTATAAACAGCATCCAATTGTCTTTTAAAAAAGCGACAGTCTTGGCCTAGAATATCATATTATATCTAATCATATCCCGAGCAGTTAAATTTAGTTTTGAGCAGAACAGATTCAGAAATATCAACAGACATGCATAGAAAAAATAATTGAAAAATTTCCTGGAAAAACAAAAAAATATCCAGTTCGATTCGGTCCCAATTTGATCGAAAATAACGATACTTGAATTAAAATATTGACAATAAATGTGATTCACGTGGTATTATAACTGTCTTGAATATGTTTCTTACCTTGTATCTGCGTCAGATACGATGATATCTTCAAAAATGTGGAGGAAAACTCTTATGAATTTTCTACACGTTTCTTTTTGTGCCGAATGTGGCGAGATTTGATTGGTCAGTTCAATATTTCGTGTACGTGTACTTCCGGCTAAAAAAAGCGGGAGTATTTAAATCTGACACCCTGTCTAGATAAGCAAGTATGCAAAAACATTTCAATATATCCCAATGATATGAAAAAATTCAGATCATGTTGGTGGAAAGTTGTACAAAGTTGGGGTTTGTTACCTCAAAGTGACCAAAAAGTAGGTGAAAACTTAAACAAAGTAGTCGGTCCCCAGCGTAATCCAGTAGAACTGTTCCTGAAAAGACGCGATCGCTAGATTCATCTCATTAGAAACAGTGTTATTACCATTACACATTCCTTTGGTCTTGTATTCGATACTCTTATGAGGTACAGAATTATGCCAAGGCTTATCTTACGTCGAATTTATTGTGTAAGTATTCCTAGATTCTAAGGTTAGACTAACATTTCTTTGCTATTTTTCACTTCCGTAATTCTCAGAGTTTCTGAGAAAAGTGGAAAAGCACTTGTTGTTTCCAGATCAAGTGACTGAAGTCTGTTTCGAGAATGACAACATTGTATCATCATTTTTGATTGCATACTGTTTCAACACTATTTGAGTTCATGGATCATGGATATTATAATCATAATCCTCACGTCTCTGTTTGTTCATATATTTACAGTAAAATTGAGTATGCGAAGAATACGGTTCATGAGACGAAGCTGTGGTCGAAGAAAGGTGATATATTACATCATTCTTATTGCTGTTGCTGCATTGATAGCATTTGCAATGTATACATATCGTGAGAATAGTTGTGATGACAGAGAGTCGAGAAACATCATCACATCGCTGGTAAGTCTGTATTTGTATGTTCCCAAGCGCTGGATTTTCTGATCTCCTAATCTGTTGCAGAACAATCTTGGACATCATCTATATTACCAGTATATACATACATTGTGTGCGATAATCATGCCTGACAACATCTATATGTATACTTTATCTGTACAGCATACATGTTGTACAGTATACATGTATATGGATCAAGTGATGTCATGCATGGAAGCACGAGCTTTCAATATCCATTGAATGCCCATGATAGAAGATAGGCTAAGATAAACAATGGCTTTTTGTCTGTATGGGATATGTGTATTTATAATACACACCAACAAGCTATAATTTGACAAATTGGAATCCTGAAAGTTAATGTTCCCAGTCTAGTTTCAGTAGATACATTATGTGCATGTAGTTGTACCAATGGTCATTAAACAAGTTTATTCAAATTAAAATTTCTACTTTTTCCAGTGCCAGTTGTACTCCCAAGGAAAAGTTGCAGGGAATCTGTGTGAAGACATGTGTACAGCATCCATATTGACTTATAAAAAGTGTACAAACTACAGAGGTGGCAAGCATATCCTTATATCAGACTGGAAAGGGAAAACAGTGATCTTAAAAACAAAGGAAGCATATATTGACAAGTATTTCCCTATTGGTTATGAAGGTATTGATGGTGAGACCAATATACCAAGCATTGTAGAGTTCACTGATATGATTAACACATCTATGACATCAGTATTAGGACTCAATATGTTGAAGCAGGATATAATTGGTCGATTATGGCAAATGAAATTTGATGATTTTATTGGTGATAAAGATAAACTTCACTCAGCCATGACTAGTATATGGTCACTTGCTCAACAAGATGAATATATAATGATGCAGTATTTTCAAAATAGTTCCCATATACCAGAGATATATGGGACATGTGGTCATATTTACGCAATGGAGTATGCTCCTCCAGGGGATTTATTGGATCCAAGGCTGCTCAATAACTTTTTGGATGGCTCTCAATGGAAACTTCGAGCCAAAATAGCTCTAGATATTCTACAACTGCTAGGTGCCATGAACAATGAATTATCTCATCCATTACACCTTTGTGATATTAAAGGTGAAAATTTTGGATTCACTGAAACCGGTTTAATCAAAGCCATTGATGTTGATATGGCATTCCCTGATCCTAAAATGAAAACTGAAATGTTGAATCCTCACACAAAATGCTCAAAACATAGCGACTGTGATTGGTTCGATTGTAAGGGCTGGTGCAATATTGAACAAAGTAAATGCACAGATAAAAGGATAAACAACAATTTACAAGCTGTATGCGAAAAAATATTCTCTACTCGGTATGAAAATGTGTTCAATGGATTACTCCAGTCCCCACCTGAGTCTGTGGCAGTTCAGCTTAATACTGCAATAAAGAAATGTGCTAATCCAACTGGGGAAACAAGTCCTGGTTTACGGTTTGAGGCACCACAAGAAACGTTCAATGAAATCAAGGATTTACTATTAAAAAGCCTTTCAAGTTAGTTTTTAGAATAAACAAGAAATTTGAGATTCGTTGCTGCAATTTGACAGCCTGATATGCGAAATGACTCCTGGTCTGGACCAATGATTTTATGAATCATTTAAGAGATGATCTACTGCTTCAAGACTTTGACTCCATCCCTTGTCAAGAAGAGAGCTAGAAACGTTTTTTTAATAATACATTGATCTCCACAGAATTTTTTCTCAAGTGGGTGCAAAATTCTTATTTTCACAATTCAGACCAAATTTGGTCAAAATATGCCCATTTTTCATGATTTTTCAAGTGGGTGCAAATGGATTATCAGGTGGGTGGGTTTTCAAAATCTCAAGTGGATGCTGAGCCCACTTGCTTTAATGCTGGGGAGATCACTGTAATATCTTTTGATCTTGGCTTTATGTAAAAATATGTACCACATCAGTTTGAAGCCACTTTCTGGCTTTGTACATATCTGTATAGCTCAGTATGGCATATATTTATGGTAATTGATACCCAAGATTAAAATTGGACATCAGTTTGAGAAAAGGACCATGGAAGATACCACAACAGATTTTAGACAGTCATTTGTTGTATTGTGGCTATTTTCTGAAGAATTAAAAAGGTGCATATACTAGGCAAATGTATTATCTAAAAGAAAAGTACTCATATAGAGATGATAAAATAATTTGGACTTTGAGACAGGGAAGGTTCGAACACCCCACCAACATCTTTTTCAATTCAATTGTTTTCAGTTAATTTTGGTCACTCTGAATTGATATCTTTAAATTCCCTGCTTGAATTCTATTTTCCTTTCAAGAGGTTGTCTTTGTCTCCGAATGCAACATATTGATGCATAAAAAACTGAAAAAACATGAGTGGAAAGGGTTGAAAATCAGGACAATATTTCTGGAAAAAATGTTGGCGGGGTGTTTGCACCTCCCCTGTCTCAAGGTCCAAATTATTTAATGATCTCTATAAGTGCTTGTCCTGGAGTTAATGAATTGGGTGCTCATACGCAGTATACTAGTATTCAAATCCTTAGAAAATAGCCAAAATCCAACATGACTGTCTGAAATCTGTTGCGATACGTTCCATGATTCTTTGCATATTAAATTAAAGTGGATGCCAAATTAAAGCAATTTACAGTTAATGTTAGTAATAGTTATCTCACAATTATTAAGTCAGATTGTCCAATTTAAAACTAGAAAAAGAGTAGCTGTGATAAAAGTGCCATTTGTATGTCATTCATGTATTTGTATTCATGTCTTCATGTACAGTATATTCTTTTGGTATAATAATTTTACACTTTTGAAAGTTTAGCACATCATTATTACATACACCTTTATGTACTCTTCTTAAAGGTGGGAATAAATAAACAAATACTTGAAACATTATTTTCAATAAATAGACTAGATGCGAGTAGTCATATAAATCCGACTGTTGTATGCTGTTCTTCGATATTCCTTGTTCTTATTTGGATATTTATTTTTTATCATTTTCTTTGCATATGACGCTCCTATGCAAGAAAATAAGAAAAAATAAATATCCAAATCAGAAAAAATAACAACAAATAACATCATACGAGTGTCAGATTTATATGACTAGATGCGAGAAGAAATAATCTTGATTTACGTCAGTAAAAATTAAATATTTGGAATCCTGATTCTGTCTTTAACTTGTTAAACAAGTGATATCTGTGCATGAGAAATAAAAAAGTCAATATTCTTGTGTGCTACTGCTACATCAACACTACACCCCTCCCTCCATCGTCAATCGGTAGAATACAAAATAACAGGTCCCCATTGACCTAGATTCTGAGCAAACCGGAAGTTGTAATTATTTTCTTTTGGAAATATTGAAAAGTTACAAAATTACAGACTCTTCATGATTGTAACAAGGAATTAATGGTGTTGAATGTTTCAAAGACAAATTGAATTTATTTTCTCAACATGGAATATCCTAAAATAGGAATTGTAGCAGTTATTATTGCTATCATTGCAGGACTATGTTTATTGAAAGTTGAACATTCAACAGAGCATTCAATTTTTATTGAAGCAAGTCCCAAAGATGTTTTTGAGTTTGTTTATGACCACAGGAACATGCCTAAGATTCATCCATTTCTGTAAGTATATGTATTGTAAAATATGTAAATGACGTACAGTACTCTCAAAACTGTAGAGAAAACCACATGCTATCTATTGCAAGACTTACGCCTGCCACAACCGTCGCCATGTTAATCAGTGTTTTTAAGTAGCGCAAGGATCCTGTCATGACCCTGGAAGTGTTATCGTGGAAGCCTGGCGCGACCGTAGCCTTTATTGTGGTTTATAAGCGAATGTGAATATTAATGTATAGTACTGTACGCCCGGTATTATTCGCGAGCTTTAATTTCGCGAATTTCACAAGTTTGAAATTCATTATTCTCAGAAGCAGCGCTTGAATTGCCATTCAGTAATGCGTGCCGGGCTATGTTTGCCCTTTCTGCATCGTTATACACCTTATATGTCCCGCGTTTGGAATTGGACTTCATGTTATCTTTTGCAATTTGCACTTCATTTGCAATGATGTCATCGATATCATTATTGGGCCTACTGGTGGTACTGGGCCGAATCAGCCAACGTAAAATGGACATTACTGAAGTCCTGAAGATCGTGGATATCCAATTATCGCCCAATAACACTAGACGAAACGTTTACACAAAACGAAATGCATCAGAGCCCCGGGTAATAACAAATTCCTGGGGATTTAATTGGCAATTCGCGACGATAATTTTTCGCGATTTATAACACCATCGCTAAAAGCGCGAAAATTAATTGCACGCGAATAATACTGGGCGTACAGTAGTAATTTTGATTTTGACATGATTAAGGTAGTTAAACACCATGATCATAGTATTAAACTGTGTAATTGTAATGACGATCACTTAATTGTTAAGGATATTCCTGGCAATAATGTCATCCATATTTACTTGTCATTGCAATACATTTTAACGGTCATAGTAGGAAAGCCTAAATTTCTACATTACCACCCTAATACCTGGCCTTGCACTACTATATTACATTGTCACGGTCATATCAGGCTTGCGATCCCATAATACATTGTCACGGTCATGCCAGGTTTTGAAATACACATTGTCACGGTCACTTATAACAATCATAAATTTCTACATTACCACTCTCATACCCGAACTTGGAATACTATATCACATTGCCATGGCGGTCATACCAAGCCTTACAATACTATATTACATTGTCACGGCCATGCCAGGCCTTGCAGTACTATATTACATTGTCACGGTCATGCCAGGCTTTGCAATACACATTGTCACGGTTATAGCAGTCATAATCGTAAATTTCTACATTACCACTCTCATACCTGAACTTGTTATACTATATTACATTGTCACGGTCATGCCAAGCCTTGCAGAACTATATTACATTGTCACGGTCATGGCAGGCATTGCAATATAATACAGCATTGTCGCGGTTATACCAGGCTTTCACGATAACATTACCACGGTCATGGCAGGATCCTTGCGCTACTTAAAAACACTGAATAACATGGTGACGGTTACGCCAGGCGTTAGTCTTGCAACAGATAGGGTCTCGAGAAAACTTGATTTTTCATGTTGAATCGCCTCACACTTTAAAAATGGCCAATAATTTACATGTTATTGGTCCGATTTCGTCTTATTCATCAATCTCGTACGACTGCGATAGGCAGAATTTTCTGCGCCGTGGCAGTGAAATACCCTTAAAATGGCCCAAATTTAAGCAACCGGTTTTACCCAGTCGCAGTGATTTAAGTACCTCTCTGGTTAGATCAGAAATTTGTTTTTTATTTCTTTTATAGTATATCATGTGAAGCCTCAAATTACTGGACGAGTCCAGATGGAAAGGAAGAAAATGCTAAATGGACCATGCTTGAAAGGGTTCCTGGTTTGGATTGGATGGATAATTCATTTGATGCATATGTCACTGCGGACAGGAATGATATGCTAATAGCTTTCAGATATAGTATATACTACTTAATTAAAGGTATGGACAGGCAAACAAAATATGTTAAAGTGGTCTCCCTAGCATTAAAGCAAATTGGTGCAGCATCCATCTGCAATTTTGAAAATAGGCTTGCACCCACCTGAAAATCCATTTGTACCCACTTGGAATGAGAAAAATCATGAAAATGGACAATGGAAAATGGACATATTTTGACCAATTTCAGTGTGAATTGTGAAAATGAGAATTTTGCACCCACTTGAGAAAAAATCCTATGGAGATCACTGTGTTATTTACTAATAAATAAATATATGTTATTTACTGGGAGGTATCTGAAGGGTATGTTTACAGGAGGATGTTTACAGGAGGAGGATGTGACTGAGTACATGTTGTCCAAGTATGAAACCAAAGCAAGTATGTCGATAGGTGCATTCATGCACCCTCTGGGTCTCTGAGGATCGTGTTGGCCCCTAATGCAAGTCCATACGACAATCCAACGTATAAGAGGCGGTGTTCACTATTTAGTATGCCGGTTGACTAAAAAATATATTCCATTGGAAAGAAAAATTGAAAATATTCTACAATAAATTGATATTCCTGTAAACTTTACAGTCCATCTAAAATACATACCATGAATCAATTTATTTTATTTCCAGGGCATTTTCTCTGGAGCTTTGAGGCAATTGAGGCCCATAGGTCAGATCAAGGTATTGCAGGAACAATTGTAAAACAAGCAGGAGACTTAAAAATAGCTAGAATCCTCAGGTCATTTGTGGTAAACAAACAAGATGAAGCTGCTCAAGAAACAATGAAAAACCTTAAACGATTAGTAGAGAATAAGCCATGAGGTGGTTGAGTTCTACATTTCACTGGATGAGCCAAAGGTCATGGAAAATCAAGTCTGATTCTGATTCTCCAATTTACACATTTAATTGTACATGTAGATTTAAAATCTAAGTTTTTCATTGTCTTTGGAAAATGAAACTGAGAATTCAAATTATGGACTGCATTAATTTGACAAAATCAATTTTTCTAACTGGAGTCTATCCTTCAGTTTATCTAATCCACAATCAGACTGAATTTTCCTAGAACTACTGTATGATATCAATGCATTCCATTCATGATCCCAAAGTAACAATACAACCTTTTTATCAGCTTAATTTTTGTTCAGAACATGCTTAAAGAAATCTTTTTCCAATGAGCTACAACAGCGAATCAGTGATGAGGACTACATTCAATAGGGAAAGCTAATTTTGCTCAGAAATGTTAGTATCTGAAAATCCATCATCATTTAAATTATAAAATTTAAGCACAGAATAAAACAAATTAGTTTTAATAGGGGCAACAAAGACTTAATTTTAATAAATAAATAATAAAAAAAGAGACAAGTTCAGAGTAACTCTGAAATATTGTAAATTTCACAATATTTCTTGCTAACAGTAACAGGAATTTGTGTCAGTTTTGTGATATCTATGTTTGTTGCCACTTAAATTCTAATTTAGTTGAATATTTTATCACACTACACAACAAATAACAGACACCAACTTCGTTTGCATACAGACACTTTATTACTTGTTCACTCAAACTTTCTTTTCTTTTTAGGTCTGAAAATGTGTATAACTATTTCTAGTGCATATGAAGATTGGATGAGCTTACACATAACTTTAATGGCAAATCTAAAATAAAAATGATGAAACAAATGAAATTGTAAAACTATCTCATAATTCAAAGATCCCGTTGAGCATGCATAACGGAGAGTGTCTTTATTCATAATGTCTATATCTCTACACAACATGGCATTGCTACAGGACAACATGGCATCTGTTCGAAACATATCACGCAATGATGTAACATTGTCCCGAAATAATGTCACGTAGTGTGGATCATCTAGTTTTTTTTGGCCTTTGGTGCGTCATATTTGGATTTGCTGGAGTACCAGAGGAGGAGAGGGATTCCCAGGGAAGGTAGGCACATCAAAGCAAAGGTGGCCCAGTCAACCTGCAATGCATGATGGGATATGTGAAACATGGTTATGTCACATAATCAATATATAAATATCACCACACATTTTTAATTTAATATTTTGCTGAATAATCTTCAATAAGTTATCATCTACATATCAAAAAATCGTTTAATTTGATTGCACAAGGGTTTCCAATTAGAAGAAAGTAAACATAGGGATTGAACTTAGAGGTCAGTAAATAATATGCACTGATGTCAAGATACTTACAATATGTGGGCTGAACTTGCGGTCGTAGTCTTTGAGACTAATGATGCCACCCTCTCCAGGAGCACTGGTATAGGCAAGCTGTAAAAGACACCACAGTGTGATCAAAATTGCATGAATACATTATAAGCAGCAATAAATAACAAGATGATTTGTCAGGATTGATGGACAAAATAGCACTTTTCAACAAATTTTTACTGATGTTTGCCTAACAGTGCTTTGACATCAGAGTCGCAGTGATCGTACACATCCTTCTTGTGCTTATCTTGTATCGAATGTTTTAAATATAGCCTAACATGACCTAAAATGTTTCTAGAAATATGAATTCTACAGTGATCATTGGGGAGCAATCACCAAATTTTTTCATTGAAGAATATAGGAATAATAGGAATAAATAATTTAAATTAATTGACAATGATAAATATTAAACGATAAATCAACAGCTGGACTTAGTCATTCAGGCTCTAGAACAGAGTGTGTTTATAAACTACTATACTTACTGTTGGTTCCTCAGCATCTTCAGCAGACAAGTAGCTGATCTCTGCAGATGTGAAGTTAAAGTAGCCGGATTTTAATGGACGGACAATCACAGCATGGGACACATTGCTCCCTCTAGTGGTGCTTAAGGAAATCAACTAACCAACAGTATTTCAAAGTAAAGTGCATTTCACTTTTACTTACGCTGTATAGAACTATTTCTACAAATGGATTTCAATTAGATGTCAAATAAAAATATAAAATATATGTAAAATTATGAACTATTTTTCAAAACTAATGAACACTTAATTTCAGTACTGGAGATAGTGTTTACAGAGTACAATGAATAGGGTTCATTTCAAATATATGCAAATTCAAAGTTTCATCTATACCTAAATATGATAAGAAATGTGGCATACTACTGAACAATTAACTGTTTTTGTTTGATTGTTTTAATTGAAAGGATACGGTGCAAGTCTCTCCCACTGGGCATTTAGGAACCCACGGACAACCTCAAAATCACCCTCAGGGAAACTGTAGTCTGCAAGCTGGACATTCAAGGCAGCACTGGAAGAAAAGAAAAATAACACACTCTGTGTAAGTAAAATTTAAAAGGTATATGTACAGGAAGGTAATATGAGCAAAGATCTTTTTTCTAGGGTATGTGCATCATGGAATACCATGGCTCTCTGAATTTAATCGGTAGGAAACAAGAAACTTATTTTTTTAAAGTATGTCAACTTTTTTACAAGAGTAAACTTCCCGGGAATTTTAAGATTGTATGTGAAGCCCCACCTACTCGACTAGCGGGATTGGCACAGAAAATCAGAGCAACTAAACACAGACAGGTTTTTAGATGCAATGTGCATCATAATGGGGTATGTGTATTTTAAATGTTTGTGTAACCATTTCAAAGCATTTTAATCAATCTTTTAAATCAAGTTACGTTATGAGTTTATTTCAATCATCATCTGATCACAATCATCTACCTAATTAACATTCTATAATCAAATGTAATATTATGCCAATATTCAAGCTCATTATGGTTAGCCTAAATTAATTGTCAATATTAGATTGAAAATGTTAACAGCTGGGAGGAATCTACCATATTCACGAAACAGTTGTAACATAGTAAACCTTAAACTAAACTTATCCATAGTTATACAGAGGATATTTGATTTTAAAAACATTTTGGTCTAATGTTTTCTTTCCATGATTAATTTCTAAAATGAGAAAGTTATGCTTTCGCTTTGAGGAAATATGAAAAATATCTACACAATCCACTACATCAACATAATAAAAAGACTTTACCTTGCTCCGACATTGTACAGGTAGTACTCGACTGTGAGGTCCTTCCCTTCTACAAGATATTCATTCAGAATATTCTTAGAAGCCAAAATTCGGGCATTTGGGTCTTCATCAATAGCGTGTACAGCAACAATAGCAGCCAATACAAACAATAAGCACTTCATTGTAATCTGGAAGAAAATATTCCAAGAATTTTATCCAGGCAGAACATATGTACACATAATTGTTGATTGGCAATATAAATAATACATACTGCAAATATATCTGTAGTTTAAAGTCCTTTAAAGCTAAAGAGCATGATTAGATGTAAGGCAATTGAAAGCCTATGTTTTCACAAATAAGATAACTTTGATCCCTGTAAGTTCTAATTTCCCAATTTTTCTCGCATCCGTTGGATGGAGATCAGCATCGATTTCTTCCCAAATCAGAAATTACATAAAATGGAAGTTCTAACGTGAGTCCCCCGTTACTCCATGTGTTGACAGTACCTTCGTATGACCTAGAGTCCATTTCACTGCTTCATTTCGTCAGTAGAATGGCAAAAATAAGAAATCGGGAGGCCATTGTGCAATAATATATGGAAAAGTATATTCATAATGTACATGAATGACATTTGTATATTTCAGATTTTTTAGTTTTTTGTGCAATAAGCCTGTGCCGTCTTGTAATTTGAAGAATTTCAGCCATGTTAATCTTATTGAAAATAACATGGCAGAGAAACATCCAAATATAAGAGGCCACACACTTTTTAAGCCAAACTAGAAGCAATCCAAGATATACAAATGTCATTCATGTACAATAGGAATATATTTTTCCATATATTATTGCAAAATGATATTTTGATTTCTTATTTTTTAGCTTTTACTGACGCAGTTAAACAGTGAAATGGACTCTAGACCAGAATAAAGAAGAATAAAGAATTCGACAAAAAGATTCATCAAGTAAATATTCATTTGGATTTGAATATATAACCAAATTAATGTATGCACAGTGATCTTTGAGCTAATACTTTGTTCGTCTGATATCAAAAAGTTCTTTGCTTTGCAAAAATGCGGACGTGGCGCCGGTACAAAAAATTCGTGAAAATTCAATTAGATCTAGTTTACACGCAATTTTCTCAGTAAGATTCTTTCTAAAAAGTAATAATTGTTTACACAACTATTCTTGAATGATGTCCTCATAATATTTACCTCTTTGTCCGTCTTTATTGCGATCAATCTGCAATATAAAAGCGATAATTCGATCCAACTGTTTTCTGAAAATGTGAACCGGAAAAGGGTGAGCTGGGGCAAATATCGGATACAGCTCTCCGCTTTTCAACTGATCGATCATTCTGTTTAAAAATATAGTCGCAATCAATGGTCGTTGTCAGAGGGTGAATAGCTGCAATTCTCATTTCAACAAGAATATTTATTAAGCTACTGATCTTTACAAAAGAATCTTGCCAGTATCTATGTTATTTATTGAGCTTCTGATATCCGGGTCAGTATCACTTGCGGATCTGGGGCAGGGGGGGGGGGGCCCGGGGGGGGGGGGTGGCTAGGGCCGACACTTGGCAATTACTGGGCCTTTTTGGGTCAACGTTTGGTTTTAATAGGGGCCCAATTTTTTCCGTGTGCAAGCGTGGCATTCTTTTTTTCAAAATTGAAATATGCCCTCCCTCCCTTGTTGGTTTGCAGATTCCACCGACAAGGGGTAACAAATTCCAATGAACAAACTCATGAATCTAAAATATGTCACACTGATTTCAGTATCACGGCCTAAATCTAACAGCTGAGCTGAGTAGAGTGGTACTGGTGGAGGAGCCCGGGGGAGGAGACAATTTTTGCTAGAAATTCAATAAAAACTGTGCACGATTTTTTATGAGAATCTTTGCTTAATTGCTAAATGAATAGGCGGTATGGTATAGCCTTAGCTCACGTCGGTATTATCATCTAATTTATCTTCAATATAATTAAAATATAAAAAATAAAAACACACTGACTAATGAATAAAGGCCAGATGTAAAATTTGTTAGATATGCTTCTAAGGTATAAGACTTATTTAAAAAAGGTGCAACGTCACCAGCGAGAGATGGTCTAAGCATGGACGTATATCATACGGCCTTGGAGGACAATTCCTTTACAACCTTTTCAAATGCTATCTATATCGTACACCTTTGGAAATAAAAGATATGCGTTGTTGAAGCAGTTTGGCATACCAAGGATTTATCCTAGTATACTATTAATATTTGTAACTAAAACTAAATATCCTAATAACTGGAAGTTCTTGGCACAGAGAACTATTCACATATGATTTGTATCGTTTCTAATTTGTATTATCTAGATTTTAGTCTCATAGCATATATCTGTTTTAAATGGGTTTATTAGCCTTTTGCGGATTATTGATGTAGATGAGCAGGTCTGCATCTTTATGTGGTCGATGTGATCGTTCTTATATCCGGATTTTACCCCGCAAGTCACGTGACTTCGTCTGCTAGCCGGTGAAAAGCACATGTGAACGGAAGAGTTGATCACTATTGCTTTAAATGTCAATGTATATTGATTGATACGTGCTGAAATGATTATTTAACAAACATTGGTGTACATTTTATACAACTAGCGATCCCAATAGATGTGGATGACGCCTGAATTTGATTTTAATATATAAAAGTAAAGTTTTAAAAATTTCTGAAGTTTGCAGTTTCACAGTTCATTTCATATTCATAACAAGCATTGGATCAGAGTCTGGAGATGGCTTTTCAAAGAAATATTTGGATGGATTCTATTTTTGCAATCGTATCCATTGTCGCATTTGTGTCTGGTAAGTAATATAATCTATTTCTTGAAAGCCAAACCATCACTGCCAAGGCAATGATCAGCTGGTTTGTAATCATGTAATTCAATTGTAAAGGCTAATTGTAGTGTTTTCGCGATTATTTGATACATCGCGATAGACATCTCCAAAAATTATTCTGACAATGCATCGATGTCTGAAACAAAACATCGAAGTTTTAAAAAAATTGAATTTGCCGATGTACGATGATGGCACATCCCGACAACACTTGTAAATTATAACAGTTGATTTTGAATTTAATCACCTGATTATTAGATTACAACAGGTCCAAGCAATGCCTGAACCTTATCCCGTTCCCGGACTATAGTCCTGCACTGAGCGCATTCATTTGCCTGTACGATTACAACTTGGGAGAATTATCTACGCCCCTTACACTTAAGGTGACATTTAAGTTAATCAAAAGTACAAAAACATGGGAGCCATATTTTTTTGATAAGTCAGAAGATTTTGTATACTGTTTTCCTTGTATGTGAATGCATTTCCTGACTAAAGAGACACATAAAAGAAAACCTCACATTTAAACGCATTTTTCATAACTATGAATTGGAGGTGTATGGCTCCCAAAAGCTAGCATGAAGAGTGCGAAGCGAGGCTATTTTTTGAAAGTTTCAAGGAGTAGCCTTGCAACAGTCACACATTTGCAAGAATTCAAAATTTCCAGATATAGTCTTACCTTACCAAGGAACAACGAAGGAGCACGAAAATGTGTACTTCTTGCATTGTTAGAGTATAATAAAGCTCAAACCATTGTGAATTCTAAATATTTCATGTCCACCATTTTGTTTCCTGGAACTATTTTTTAGTCCAGAGTTATCTTCATTCATGTTTCCATTGTTTATCATTCATAAAGCCTCTATCATGTATCTATCATGATAATTACACTGTAATAGATAAAAACATACAAGTGATAATCCATGCCACTTGGTGTAGTCACAAAACTTGCATGAGGATTAATCAGGAAGTCTAGAAGTAGTTCCGGCAAACAAAATGTGGACATGAAATATTTAGAATTACAATGGTTTGAGCTTTATTATACTCTAACAATGCAAGAAGTGCACATTTTCATGCTCCTTCGTTGTTCCTGGGAAAGGTAAGATGATTTGTGGAAATTTTAGACTCTTGCAAATGTGTGACTGTTGCAAGGCTACTCCTTGAAACTTTCAAAAATTAGCCTCACTTCGCACTCTTCATGCTAGCTTTGGGGATCCATGTAGACTGTATCCTTCGTCTGAATAAATATTCAGACTGTAAGTCACCTATTATAAAATGTGGTGTCGTATAAATGTTACAAATAAGTTTGTTTAATGATAAAATGATTACCTTATGAAGAACTCACAATATTATTTTTTCGTATATTGTCCTCTTACTGAAGATATTCATAAAATGTACAGACGCTTCTTGTAGCGAAGCCATTGATTAGGTCAAGCCATTTTGGCAATGCCAATTCTCACGATAAACGAGATTTAGCCAGTGACGTCAGTCTATTTGTAAACAAATAACACGTGGAGCGGGAGCAACATTACGGAAGCGTATTGCTAAATTCCATTTGTGCGGGAATTTATTAGATCTAGTCATTTATTATCATTATCCCGATTAATTTTCTTCATTTATAGTAAATAGAGCGGAAATATTCCTTAAGAAGGCCGAGGTAATCAAGTGGTCATGTGTTGTCAAAGTTCAAAATTTGCATATCTCGTTTGGATCTCGTGAACTCAAACGTCCTTGACATTGATTTCGCGATCTACTTATGAACACATCCTGAAGTTTCGGTGAGTCTGAACATTTCATTATTTTATATCAACTTGTACCCGCCTTATACAAATATTTTTGCTTCTAGTTTAAGATGAACATCTCTTCAACATATTCACCAATTTTCAAGGTGAACATTCTTATAATAAACGAGAAATTAATGTGCAAAAAATATCACCGCGATTTCCATAGGAAATATATCAATCATAACAGACCGAATATTATATTCGGTCTGTTGGATACATACTAGGGATCCATGCACCTCCAATTCATAGTTTGGAAAAATGCGTTTATGTGTGATGTTAACCTCTGACATGTTTCATAGTCAAGATATACAATTCATATACAAGGTAAACAGATTTTAAAAACATGTGTCTTTATCAAAAAAATATGGCGGTCATTTTTTGAACTTTTTATTTAATTTAGCTTCGCCTTAATGAGAGGGGAGCTTTTGTTCAGATGGAGCTTTTTGACAGTTTTGGCTAAAAAATCATGCAAAAAGTGCTCTTAAATTGTGAAAAACTGCATGATTTTGAAGAAATTTCTAGCCAGGGAGGTTCAGCTTTCCCCCTCCCTGGCTACAGGCCTGAGATCTACTATTTTATGTCAAAATATCTAGAGCCATCTAGGAACATTTAGAAGCTTCCCAAATTTTTATTGATTTTTATCAGACACATGAAAATAAAGAGTAATCTCACTAGATAGCAAAAGGTAGGGGTATACCTGACTAGGCATTTGACAGGTAACACCTTTTCTTTAACATTAGGAGACATTTTCGACAAAATGTATGAATCTGATGAAGCAGTCAAGTTAAATCTGAATCCCAGCGGAGTAATCAAATTCAATTAGATAAATAATATTAAAAGCTTCAAGCATTTAAAATAATCGCCAGAAATTTCCATGAGTGAATTCATGTAAGCATGAAAATGTTTAGTTAAATATTTTAATTAATTTCCAATTTCAAGATCCATCCCTGTCCTATCCTTTTAGAAGCTGTTATATTATCTGACCATCTTAGCCCCAGCTGAGGACCACCCCTTGCTGTTTGAGACTCAGCTGTATAATGACAGTCAGCTGTCTGTTTTGCCTTACAACCTCAATTCCTCTTGCTTTTCTATGTCAACATACTTGCAGTTCAAGATTGCATGTGGTTTAATATAGTTCAGTTTTATTATATTAGATGATCTCCTAAATTCAGCCACAATCTATATTTTTATTGAAAGTACTAAATATATAACGCAGAATACTTTATTATTAGTTTCTCTTTCTCATAAATGTAAATACATATTATAGAGAGGCTAAAGGGGGATATGAACTATATATACTGATCAGTGGTATCGATGCAGTGCATCTGTCAAGCCATCTAACAACAAATACTTTATCTCTGAATACTGCCCAGCCGTTTTTAGAGAATTTTTCTAAACAGATACCAGGTCATAAGTATATACAGGGGTGCAAGGAGAATGCGATTTCCTAGTATTTTTATTTATTTAATATGTACAATTGAAAATAAGCTTTTTTCAGTGATGGTAAAATTTCTTTGGAGCGAAGGCGAAGCATGTCTTTTTATATTTTTAGATAGCTAGATTAGGTGATCTTTCTCATTACACTTTATGCTTTGAAACTGATTAGATACTTTAGATAGACTGGTAAACCATGTATAGACATGAAGAAATGGTTAGAATACTCCAAGTACGCCAATTGACATGGAACTGCATAAGATATCTCTGTCTGAGATAAGATTACTCCATGAAGATTCCAAGCACATGAAACTGCATTGCATTTAAAGTCTGAGATCGGATTGTTTCAAAATTCCAAGTTTATTGACTTTACACTACAGTGCAAAATTTGATTACATAATACATAGATCTAATCCAATTTCCATATTTTTAAGGTACATCTTTTGAGACCATTTTCATTTGTACATTAGTTATTGATAAATAGTAATTTGCTAGATTTTTCATACTCTATCTTCCTAAATTTCCCTGTATCAATAATCAAACACATGTAATATCCAGTAGAGAGTTAAAGAGTGTATCCAGGGCTGTATTTCCTATAGGAATATATATTTAAGTTTTTGAGGATATAAGCTGTGGCATCGCATGTATTTCCTTAGAAAAGCTTCATGCTGGGATGAAGTTGTTCTTGTTGACAAGCCACTGCAGGGGAAAATACATACAGGAAACCAGGGGTGAAACGACTTAGTCTGATAAAGCCCTTAGAAATATATCGATTCCAGCATGAAGAAAGTGTATTTTGAAATAGGGATTGTAATCAATAACTTTCATCTGAAAAAATCATATTACAGTAAGCCTGTATATATTGAACATTGTGTTGTTGTTGAGAAAAGCATTCAGTGTTGGTAGGTGTTTACTACAGAGGGGGTAATTTAAACAGAAGTTTGTAGAGTATGTGTGGAGGAAGGGTGTCTACTAGAGACAGGTGTACACTCTAGAGAGGTGTTCACTGAGACAGGTTTTACTACACAGTATACATGTATATGTGAATGAGAAAATTGCCAAAATGAGAACATGTTAAGCACTTTCACAGTTAAATCTGTGGTGAAAATTGAAAATGAAAAGCTAGCTCCATAAGTGGACTTGTCCTTTTACCTATTAACTTCCTGTAAAATGGACCTGTATAAGTAGAACCTCCCGAGTGTTCTACTAACAAAGATACTACAAGTGTTCCCTTTATACAGGTTTAACTGGATATGGTCTGCATCTTTAAGATATTAATGACTCAAAGAATGGACCAAGCCTTTTTAAAATCACCATCTTTAACATTTAAGTGTTTCAGAGATGTTCTGGTTTATGTCCAAGATGCTGGTCTACATAGTTATGTCCAACTGTAAGATCTCATGTTTTTTTGCTAATGCAGATCAAAGGTCTCACTTCAAAGTGGTCATTCTTGATATTTTTTTGTTCTAAAGGGTTAAATATTTGGCACTTAGTCTCAGGGATTTATAGCCAATGGCAGTTGCACTAAGTTAATAAACGTACCCAAAATTAGAGGTTTCAACATGGACAGAAAGGTCCGTCAAGTTTGAAGCTTCTTCAAGTTATAGTTATATAAGACTACCTACAAATGCCTGTGGAAAAATGATTGCTAACTGACATATAACTTGAGTTTCCGTTATTTTAAAATGATTGTGTGAAAAAATGTTCAAATTTTCTATAACAGTTTTTATGTCCTCACTTCAATTTAAACACACAAACTTTATGAAGTGAGACTAAACAAAATTATTTTATTGCTTTTTTCTGTTGACATGATACATATGTATGATTTCAAAGATAGTAGAGAAAAACATAATTGATGCACATAATCTAGAGGGCTTTCTCTAAGGTCGTAAATCTGCTTCATATGCATATTGTACCAACTGAAATCGGCCCTAATCTTTTCTTAGGTCAAAAGTTAAAGATTTCTTCAGGTTGTGATGACTTTCAAGGAAATACAGATGAGGCTGTGCCATCCGACCAAAATTGGGCTGAACCGCGACCTTTTGCTTGAAATACCAGTATATGAACTTTGACATCATGTCTCGAAACTTTATCTACTATTGGCTTTGAATTGTTAATGTCTGTGTCCAGTGTTTCAGGCCGTCTACCTGTCCTGCAACTTGCGTATTTGTCACGCATTTGATTAAGAAATCGAAATCACTGTTTTTTGCATGACAGAAAATGTCAAGCAAATACCCTTTTTTCAAATCATTTTCAAGCAAAAATGTTTCAGTTCATGCCGAAAAAAAATGAACGCCGAAAAAAATCAATTGCCAAAATGAACACAGTTCGTTCGGAATTTTAGGCGAACCGTGAATATCATATTATGTCACGCATTTGCTTTGTTTTATTTTTATGTTTTGTTATATTCTTCTTTCATAATCACCAAAAATCTTTGATGCATATCATGAGAAAGATGTTTTCTCAGTGCATATCATGAGAAAGATGTTTTCTCAGTAATTTTGAAAGTGCATAACCTATATCAGCCTTTTGGCATACTCTTTTGCTATAATTGGAATATGTTAAAAACAAATTTCTAATTACATAAAGTATATGAATGTTTACATATGGTATGAAATCATGATTTTTTGCTCAAAACTACTTGATATTATCAGGAAGCTTTCCAGCACTAAAATAGAAGTTAAATTGTTAGTCTGCCATGCATGAATCAGAGTGGTATATCAGAACATTATTAAGTAGCAAGGCCATGAAATGTTAAATATATGTTTAGATGATAATTATTGAAATGTACCAAAAAAAAAACATTTATTTTCTCAGCTCTTAACTGAACAGACTATAAAAAAACAATTGAAGGTTAAAGAATTCTTGAGTAAAGAATAACTACAATATTTATCAAATTATGATTAACATATATTGATTATCAAAAAAGTAACAAATGTTTCATTTCAGTGGCCTTATAGAAAGAAATGCCAGAATGGTGCCTTGGTGCCAATAAACTCCTTGTACCCTGCTTCTGAATCTGGCCACAACTTCTGCTTTGTTTCCGTTCACCATCAGGATTTCAGCCTCTCCAGAATAGCCTGGCTGTTAACATTTTTTTTAAACAGACGGCATAATAGAATGGCTCCTAGCTATCTAATTAATGTGGCCAATGTCTCCTCCCTGCTCTACTGTGACACAAGCCAATGTTTATAATGATATCATTTTTTCATCTGTCTTATTTTTTTACTTTTGGATGTCAAAGAACGTAAGTTATATTTCTCAAGCAAAATTATTCATTCTTCAAAAATATAATTGTAAAAATGAGGATTTTACCCCAAATAATGAAATATAAAAGGATTCATGATTTTTAGGTTGCAATTAATATAATATGATCTTTGAGTGACTTTCTTTGTCTTTTCCAATAGGTTTACTTTGGATTAGGCATATTTATTCAGAGTTAATGGTTCTCAGCTTTACTCCACATCAAAATTGTCAGTGATGTCATTTTAACAGCCAGTGATGTCATATTAACAGCTAGTGCTATCATATTCCCAGCCAGTGATGTTGTAACTCTCAGTCAGGTAACACAGAAAACAAATTACTTTATACCCCTCACTTCACATATGGTTATACTGTACTTACAGCTAAGAATTTTTTAATGATACATTAGCAATCTCAGACATTTTGCACCAAAGTGTTTTCTATGATTTCCTGATATGTAAATCGTGTCTGGTGTCTTTACAACATCAGCATGAGAAATACAAGATCAGATTTGTTTACATAAAGTCAGTGTTGTTTACACTAATTGGCAGCTGAAAAAAGAATTGTATAACATTACCTAAGATAAATATTTTAAGTATTCAGCCATTAGGCATTCTATACTCCAGAATCACTAATGATTTGCATCTTTTAAGAAAGTCTATTATAGTTCAGCAAATGAGGGTCAAAAGAATGAAGTGTTTATCCCATGGCCCAGGGTTTAAATATACCATTAGAAAGGTAGAATTGTTGGGAGTAAGGAAAATATCTACTTGTTACAAAGTTGATTACATGTCACTTTAACAGAGAGGGGAGGGGATAATTTTTAAATGGGAGTAATTGACTCATTCGTCCATCTGTCACTTTCAGCTTCACAGTTTTTACTGTAACTCTAAAATCTGTGAAAAGTTGGTTTATTTTTGCTAAAATGTTGCAGTATTTATGAAATAAGTGGTAAAGGAAGCCGTAAGGAATAGACTTTGAAGGTCCCTTTGAGCCACTTTTGAGGAAATGTCATTTTTATAAAAACAGTGGGGCTATATTTTTCCCATGCCTCATTATCGATTTCCATATCTTCCCCTGTATATTTCACCTTTTACAGATTGAGAGAACTAAAACAGAACTATAACTACTACCCACATTCTTACGTAGTAGTAAAGTTATCGACTTAATTGCTTTTTGTAAAAATAAGTTGCAGACTATTTTATCTTGAATTCAATACTTTAATCAGGGTATTTGGTTATACAAGGATAAGGGCTATAGAGGCAGAATGTTGAAATCTTGGTCTATCAGGATAATTCCTCTAATTTTTCAAAATGCTGTTTCAAACACACGAATGTCTCTCATAATTTGTTATTTTGACGAAGATCTGATATTGGTCCAGAAAATGAGTTATTTCAAACTTCCTGATATATCAAGATACAATTTCCAGTTAACTTCCTAATATAAATGGGCCTCTTAATTTTTGAAACAAATGTATATCTAATTATTGATTTGTGGTTGGTGGAGATGGCTTATGTAGAATGCCTGTGGTTTATACAACATGGTGGCTTACCCACCCTTGCTGTATGTGGGAGACAATAATCGGCCACATGCATTCACTATCACAGGATTGAGCTGTTGTTTGCAATGTGTGTCTATTTTATAACATAAAGGTAGCTCTTACTTGATATTTACATACTATATAAACATTCAAAAATTAAAAATTTTGCAGTGGTCCCCCAATATTAGAGCAATTGGTCACTGAACCCCGTTGAAAATTTGTCAATTTTAAGAAGGGGAGTATTGTAAAAATTAAGACTTAGCATCATAAAATGCTTTTTAAGCGCTACATACATGTACGAGAATTCTTGGCCAGAGCTTTCTCTATACTACAGTCTAAGGAATTATGCTAAATGGCTATAAATCTCAGAGCAACCCTGATCTCTAAGTGCTCTTAAGATTGGTCAGCAGTTGATAAAAACATATCAGTTGTTATCAAAGAAAGAACTTTTATAGAATTAATATATGAGCTAAACCAATAGCCCCCCTCAAAATGTAAAAGAAAGGAGGCATCAGATAAATGAATTTTTTAATTGAAACAGCAAAATTTAATCATCAATGCCTCAACAGAAAAATCAACTTTTCTTGTGATATAGTCCAGGCTTCAGCAACTTAAAAAGGGTACTTTCTTAGACAATTTTCCATGTTTTTTTCCTTTCAGATTTGCCGATTTCCATGTTTTATGCTCAAAGCCAAAATTGGCCGTGTTGCACATACCTATCCAAATTATTTGGAGTGAACCCCCCAGGCTGTCAACCTGGCCCGAAGCTGGTCTTACTCTTACCAAGTTACTAGAATGATATTTATTGTAGAATATATGAATTGTAATATGAAATATAATAAGCCCATGGTTAAGTACTATTTTATATTTTGTTACAGGCCAAGGGGATTTCATAACTCAACCACAACATGTCACCAAAATGGTTGGACACCAGGTTACATTTGACTGTGCTGTTGCAGAAGATATGGGTATGTATAAATTAATATTATATCATATCAGTCTTGCGTCAAGTCATTGGGTAGTAGGTACGCATACATTCTCTCACATACCTTCCCATGACCTTAAGCAAAAGTGTTACAATAGACAAAAGGGACTTGATGCACACATTTACTACATAATGCACATATTTACCACATTTCCTTATGTGAACAATCTCATCCAAAAACATAGTTAGGGACAGGTTGGGGAAGCATTTGAACAGTAATATCAAGTAAGTAAGGGCATAATTTTAACACAAGACTAGTTGTTGAATTATTCTATAGCCTTTTATTCAGTTGCATCTATGATTGACCAAAATTAATGTCATACCTAAAAGGACTCATAAATTCTGTTAAGATTCAATGAAACAACTAAGCCACAAGATATCATAAGGAACTGATATTGCACTACTTGATTACTCATTGGAAGTACTTTAAGAAATAATGCCTGCTTCTAATTGCAATTTGATTAATACCAGTGGTATATGGCTTCTAACAACAGACGAATCTGGCTTCAACAGTAACTGCAGAATTCAGAATATAATCAAAGGTTTCTCCAAGCATTTCTACCTTTGCCAGGTCATGTAGCTCAAGCCAAAGACAATAAACAACCCAGCACAATCCAGAAAGCTAAGAGATCACCTTACAAATGACCATCTCATAACTGTACATGACTGTACAAGCCAAGAGATCGAACATCATAACACCAAAACCTTTTACTGGCTTGGACTGACTGGGTGGTGTGTGTAACATGTGTGATATGGGAGGAGTTGATGCTACTTCCATATAAGGCAATTTCTGACTCATTGTACAAGAAATCATTCTTCCTTAAATTCTTGAAAATTTTTGTATATATTTCATCACAAATTCATTTGAATCTTGTAAAGTGTACACTTTCGAAATGGCAGAAAAACAAAACTGAAACTGGTAAATCTGTTTACTTTTATCTATTTTTTTTATTAGATTGTGTCATATACAGTTCACAATGAAAAAAAATGCTTGAATCAGCAGACATCTTCTCTCCCATCTGTTGATGAATCTACAAGTGCTTGACTGTTCCCCTTGACAGCTCGATTTGTTATATTTTCCTCTCTGTCCAGTCAATAAGCCAGGGTATCTGTCATCATGTAGACCTGAAGATCTCTGGTCAGATACCCCTGATGGGTTGTAATTACATTGGCCTGTACATTGTTTGGCATTGAATTCAAATGTTATCTTCTCAACTTACAGCATTTGAAAGACACATGAATCAGTGTAGGATTGTGTTAATTTTTTCTTGTTTTATCTTGAAGAAGTTATAGGCTGGTACATCCATGGGTAGGTTCATTATATACTGTTTACCTCATACTTAGGTTTTGAGTGGATAACACCCAGGATTATATGTCGTATCTCATACTTGAATGCGTTTTGGGTAGATATCACCTGGGAATAAATATCATATCTGAGGAGCGGGCAGGATATATTGTATATATGTCCCTCTCCAGGCCAAATGCAGGCAGATATATATCCATCCCGTTCCCAGGAAATTTTCAATATAGTTGTTCGTGTGCATTCTTAGGCAGCTTCATCACTAGAAGAAACAAACCCACTCAAGTATGAGATACACCAGTTATGTATGATCAATTTTATATACATGTATATGGTATATCCCTCTAGAAATATTTATATCTCTCCTTGGTCCCTCCGGTCCCTCTGAGAGATAAATATATCTCCCTCAGGATATACCCTATATCCAAAACCTCCCAGAACATAACACTTATATATCTGATGAGTGGGTTATATGTATTCTGTCTCATCAAGTTGTAGAGTTCTTGGGAGCCATTCAGTAATACACCAGGTACAATGGTCTCCCCAGGATTTTTTCTAAGGGTGTGAAATCCATGAACACAAACAATGCATGTAATTTTCAGATTTTCAGCAGGGTTTAGGATATATCTACATCTCCCTCAGTCTAAGGTATCAATAAATGTGTTTATCTTTTTGGAGTCTCTAAGCTTTTCCAATAAAAAACCTCCCCAGCATTAAATTACACATCACCCTGTATACAGATGATCTGTTTGTGCTATAGCAAAATGATGAAATGTTTAGATACATCTCTGACCCATACAGGTAAAATAAGGGTTTAGTACCATTTACAGAATTTCAGTCATTTGGAAATAAGAAATGAATCCAATGCTAGGCAGTTGATCTGAAAATGTCACTTCACCTCAGCAAGACTTTTTGAGTGTTCTTACCATAATTTCCCATATTGATTACTTAATGTATTCGATTTGCTCCCTTCTATTTTATACATCTAAGTGTCAAAATCTGGCAAACGGAAACAGTTAAAATACATAGGAAATGTCGCCTCTCTGGTAGATGTGTGACTAAGTTGTTGAATTTGAACCATTTGTTTATTTCTGGCTTGTTTCTGTGTCATTGTTTATTGTTGGGAGAAAACAATTTATAAACTTACAATATTTTTTCTTTAAACAGAATGTATGACCTTATTAGGAAATCAGGATTATGGAAATTTAGGTTGATGTAAATTGAAAAATATTTTGGGCTGTGCATGTATATAAGTTTTTATGTGACATATATCTTATGATTGTGTGAAGAGTATTCAATTTACATTTAAAAAAAGAAGATTTGATTGTACCTGAGCTACTTCACTCAAATATTAATATCTTAACATATTGTTTAAACTGAAACTTTGCTGTAAGTTGCAGGTTCTTCCTAAAAGAAAAGAAAACTTTATCAGGAGAGAAATTAGACAAACAAAGATAATAACTCTTTATTTTTGTTTTCTAGTGTAGATTTTATATTTGGATTACTTCTATTTGAGCTTTAATCGCTTTGGGTGTAGAAATGCAGAGAGAATATGAGAAAATTAGACAGTATTGTAATATCAACTTTCACCATAGGCCACCAAAGTTGGTAATAATAGGTCTTGAAAACCAAAATAGCATTCTGCAATGAATCCAAGGACATTTCTTGTCATTTGGCAATGCATTAAGAATCACATTTTCTTTACATTGATGAAATACATAAACCAAAGACATTTTTGCTGGAGGTATACTGGACATAATGCATATGAAACACTTCAACTTGCTTACTTTACTCAAAGTTGTTTTTTCTCTCTGAGAGTTTTGTACTTGAAGAATGCAAGCTGTGTGAGTGTGGTTTGCCATTGTGAAGCAAGACCACATATTGCTCATGTGGTTTTAAATTGTTTCCTTTGGTTGAACCTTTCCAGAACCAATTCTTCCAATTTACCATATTAAAGCCTCCTTCTCAAATCTAGCACATGTTTATTGAAACTGTATATGTTATTAATTAAGAATGTTTATCGTATTAAATTAGATTCTATGAGTAATATAAAAGAATGTTAAAGGATCACAACTGTGGGTAATTGGATTTACATTGAACATGTGAAGGCAAATTATGACTTTGAGGTCCTATTTCTGGCACTCTACTTTTGTCTTTTCATGCTTCCTCTGACTTGCAGTCTTATCTAAGTACTTGAGTAACTCACCAAACTGCCATGTAAAACATATTTAACTGGTCATTCTATACAAAAATACATTTATCTCCACATAAAGGCTTATAAATTGAAGTATGATATTGGGGTCGACCAAAAAGCTGTTGGCCCGTTATCTTTTGAGAAAAATAATTGTAGATAAGGAAGAGAAAATAGGCTTAGATTTGACACAGAAAATAAACTTTAGACTTTATAAATAGTTTTTCAATTCTGAATCATACTTGGTTAGAAAAAAATATTTTTGGATTCAGTAGTAGAGTTAAACCTGTCGGAGTGAACACCTCTCTCTCTAATTAACACTTGTGTCTAGTAAACACCCCTTTTCAGCACATACTCCATTGTGGTGTTCACTGACAAATCACTGTACTCGGGTTTTACTGTAGTTTGAATAAATAATATTCAATTTCAGAAAGTAAAAAATGGTTTAGTGTTGAAAGGTCATGCAACCCCTCCCTTTGATCTTGTCATAAGATGATCTTCCCCTTTCGGATGATGTCATCAAGAATGTATGGGAATATGAAACAGATCTGTATCATGAACCAAATGTTTGCTAAGCAGATTCATTTCTATGGCAAGAAAAAGAACCCCTTGAAGCAATTCCTTCGATGCATATTCAAGTCGATATCCATTATCGGCAGTTCTGTTCCTGAATGAGAGAAATGGAATTTGGAAGATTTCATCTTGCGAGACAGTAATGAATGTATGATTGAATTAGTCCACGTTAACCAAATCTTATATAATAATGACTGACGCGCTCAATAGTCAATCAGTAAAACCGCTTTATGGATATTCAATTAACAAGTTCCAATAGTTTTCTTGATAACGATGGGTTCAGTCTGCACAAACCTCGCCTTAAGGGATTCTGATTTTATAAATGGTTTAATTATTACGTAACGAACATGGTCTGAGGATATAACGCATAAATAGATAAGAACTATTCATTATACCTCATTGGAATCTAATCCCTGTATTCATAATTGGGCAAAGCTAATATTAAATCTGAAAATCGGGTCAGGAAATATGTAACCTCTACACACATTTATGCCTGTGTTAATGTGTATTTACTGTAGATGTTTTGGTTTGATGATCTAAGACAGTGGGATGTCTGTGAATTAGGGAGGATCAGACTCATTTTTGTAGAAATTGATACCAGTACAGGTTTTTTCAACCTAACCTTTTTTATCAGATCTTTAAGTGCCAGGTGAAGCTCTCCAGATAGAAATGGTTTAATAAAACTTTCTGTTTACAGATTCCTCAGATTTTCTTCTTGCTATTACTTTAGTGTAATAATCCCACCTTTGGCTACTGGTAGATTTTAGAACCTGGAGATAGTCATGCTAGCATCATCTTTAAAGTCCCCTCACATATGGACGAATCTTCCAAACGCAGTCTTGCAAAGAGGGTAAAATTTGTTCCCATTTGTATATGCACGTTGGACATCATTGGGGTGTTTGTATGTGTTCTTATCCCT